GGGGAAAGCTAATTGGGAGTCAAATGATAAAACATTTTGGAGATTTTCCCGGAAAATGTGAGTCCACCTGAGGGCCCGGATGTGCCAAGTTCCGTCGAAACATTAACCCGTAATTTTGCTGGAAGTTTATAAGCCCACACATCGAGCCGGACCCAGAGTTCTAAGAACTGGGGGTCATTTCTCCAGTTCGGTGTTGACTTCAGTTTAGCGTGAACGTCATTCATCCTTCGGATGTTCTTGACAAGCCAAACAAAGTAGATAAAACTCTCACAAATAGCGACCTCACTTTCATCACAATCAGGAGACACGATTGGGGTCTGTAAATCGATGCTATCCGGGTTGCACTGCATTATGTCGCGCCCTGCCATAAGTGTCAACCAAATGTACGGTAGGTAAACTTAGAGCCTGGAGAATGAGAAAAATACCTTGCGGGGCACAAATCATGAGCTCGTATACGAAACATGCTTGCCAAACCCTGGTTCGTGTCATGCAATCTAAAGGGCCCTCGCCGCACCCAACACCCTGTTTGTGCAGCTCGTAGTGTTTATCCAAACCAAGGTCGCGGGCCATCGCAATAATGCTCACGACGCTCATCCATGAACGGAAAAAGTAGCCCCTCTGCGGCGCAGACTCTCGTGCCTTTAACAGTAGCAATAATGCTTGCACCGTGCTCAAACGCGGCACATCAAGAAAGCAATCAACATGTCCTAGTGCAGAGTTAGATATCTGAGTTCCCAGAGGGTTGGTGGAAATCCCTCACTAGTTGCCATGCCCATCCATTTTAGCCCTTTTGAAGGATCCGTTGTCAGTCGCCCAGCACAAGCAAAAATCGTTTCTAATAGTAGCGGGGATATCGAGTCGCGGGAAGTGTTCCATTGCCGGTAGAAGGCTGCCTTATTCACAATAGGTATGTAAGGATGTATGTGATTGAAAAAGATGCCGAACATTTCCTGTGCTTCATCTTCTGTTGGCATATCCTCCTGGTGAATTCTAACCGCGAAATCATGTTGTACAGGTAGGAACGATGGGTTAGGTTCTATCTCCTCCGTCCATGGCTCGTACGCAGGAGTCTCGGCTAGCCTTCGACCTTGAGCAGAAATGTAGTTTGCTGTTCCGTCAACTTAGTAAAACAATTCCAAAGGTTAATGTTTGCATCGAGCCTAACATACCGACACCACTATCGTCTATTTTGAGTTGTCCAAGGACCCCGCTCACATGTGCAGTGGATACATATTCAGTGTCTCCTGGCCATTGCTCCTGAGATCGCATCACCGCTTGTGTTTGGTAGACAGGGGCGGGGAAATGCATCCCCGAAAGCGGTGGCTCTATGCCTTCCCCAGAATGAATACCTGTGAAAGCAATGGTAGGGGGGGCACCATGAGAAGTGCCGTGATGTTGCTCGGGTGGTGAAATGTTTCGATAAGGACCATGGCTATCTCTAGGGGGATAGTTCAATGCACTCCTGCTCTGCTTCCTGGCTACGAGATGCCCCGGAATCATCTCCTCTTCACCACTCCCGCTCGAGTTGTCAAATTCCCCGTTTCCATCTTGTTCCGGTGGTTGGCTTGGCGCAAAGTCACCATCATACTGTACCATAGGGGGCACGCAATGAAGCTTAAGGCGGACGCAGGCCGAGCATGGCCAGGTATTCGTTGTTGCAGCATCGCACTTGATCTTGCGGCGTCGACATCCCCCGCACGCCCGCATAACTAGACGCCGTTTAGCTTAAGAAATTCACAACCAGCTCATAAAGGAAAAAAGAACTTGCACACTAACCCTTGAGCCTCTTGTGGCGGTTGTGTTCATCAACAAATACATAATCTATATAGGTTCACGAAAAGTCAATACAGATTGCTAGAATAAGATGAGGAGGGGACTTACTCCGATGGTTCTCCCTTGCCCCGCCCAAATCGGTCGGCGAAAGATTGATACTTTGCTGCATGCTCACTGCTTGCTGGGGAAATAGTCGCCGCGGGACAGAATCGATTTGTGTCTGTTGACTTAACATAGACAGCAAACGCGGTGGATATCGTGAGTATATTGATGCGATCCTAGAGAACGACTCGCCCGACAATAAACAATATATATATATCTCTTTCCCTCTCCCCCTTTTCTTTTTTTTCTTTTTCTCGTCACGAAGCGTAGGAAACGGCAAATCGGGAGAAAAAAGGATGCGCAATTGTACAGCAGATGGACAAAAAAAAATTAGGGAGCAGCCGATTCGAGAGCGGGAGCGGAACCGGGAGAAAGGTCACAGTCTTGTTTTCGAGATCAGTTATAAGTACCGTTCTCAGCAGCAAGACCCACCCACTGGTTAGAAGGTCCTGAGATTCCCCACCTTTCTCTCACTCTAGTCGTGTAGTACCCGTGATCTACCTGCAGCAAAAGTTCCTGCGCGTAGATTAATGGGACGCACTGGATAGAGGCGAAAAATTGACAATCTGGATGAAATGGTTAAGCTGATTTTGAATAGGAAGTCGCCTCGTTAGGACCTGAAGGGGGGCGAATGCCTTCCGTAGAGGTGGAGGAGGAGGGGGTTGGAGGGGGGATAAGGGCGGAAGAGGGAGTGTGTGGTATATTTTTATTAATATTTTTCCCTTTTTTTTTCTTTTTCACATCCGCATCTCCCAAGGTGAAAATGGACGAAGATAAACCTACCGATTCGGGCCAGTAAAGAAGACGGTTTGGGCAGGATACAAAGCAATGCCAGACAGATAGATTGATACTGGTATGTGGGTTCAGAGCAATATAATGGGATACTCGAGCACAGTACCTGTACACGATGATACCTTTATCAATTCACACGCGTAGTGTATTTGCAAAGTACCAAGAAAGCTATGCCGAGCTCTCTTCTGTTGTTGCTGCTGGTGGTCTTGCGCTCATGCTGTGCCCAGGAAGGGCTGAAAAGTATGGAGGGGTGCTTGTGGTGTGACGCGCCTCTGAGGGATAGGGATGGGGACGATAGGGGACGATGGAGGGATGGAGGGGAGGATATCGTACGCCGCAGTTTAAACTAGGGTAGCTACAAATTTAGAGAGAGAGAGAGAGAGAGAGCAGATCTTTAAAGGCTATTATCGACAGCCCTACTGGATTATGAGATCTCGCAGGAAGCCAATCTCTTTCGCTCACTGGATATCCCCGTCATCCTTTAAATCGTTTGGCTAGAGGCGAGCAAGACCATACTTGTTTTGGGCACCCATTCGTTGTGAAAGGACGCCAAAATATCCAAAGGAGGTGGGGGGGGGTGCAAGGTGCAGGGTGCGGGTGCTAGCAGATCTTTCTCTCATCAGCAAACCAGAGGAAAGTGTGGAGCTCAGGAAAGTCAAGGGACAAAAAGCAATCTGCTCGAGTAACTCAATCCTTGTCCGGAAATGTTGAAAGCCACTATCTCTACTTTCAGATATCACTTGTACGAGTACAAGTACCGTTTTAAAACAAAAAGCGGTATAAAGTGCCAATGCGAGGAAGATTCTCGAGTGGAGAGGACAGTTAAAAATATATCTCCAGAATACGATGATAAAATAGCAGTTCGAAGCCTTAAAAAAACGCTAATTAAGGAGAGCTCCCAACACCATCTAAATGAGTCCAACGATCGCGGCCGGTGAACCCCCCATGACGACCATGGTATGTTATGCCATATCATAATTGCATTTTATCTATCGTACAGGATGCCATTACTTCCAAGACTGTCCAAGACAACGCGCTTTTTTCTACTGGCAACCGGATGGTGAGCGGGGAAAACCGTGGTAGAGCAGATCCATGGGAGCTCAATCTAACACGGGCTATATGAAAATAAGCGCGATGCTTGTGTGTGATATCTTATTGCCCTCCTGCTATTGCTTATTGGGCGACAGGGGATGTGAGAGGGAAGGAAGGAAGAGGAAGAATGGGAAGTGAAAAAAAAAGGGGGGGGGTGCTGGTTGTGACGAATGGAAGGGGTGGATGGTTGTGTATCGGTAGGTGGGTGAATAAATGGAGGATTAGGTGGGTTAGGTGGATGAGGAATAGAGACACTCTGTGATAGTGTCTCATACAAAACACTTGGGGTGCAATGATGGAAACGGGGATGCGTTACCGGCAGAGGGGAGGGGAGTGACTCCGAGTGAGCGAGGGAGTTGGAAGTGAGCAAAAAATTATGAAAAGCTACCGCAGTTTATGGTCAGTTCAATCCAAGTTGTCATCAATTGTTCGCCCTCGCTCTTATACCGGTACCAATGCCCCCCCATCTCCACCTTTTAACTTCTACCTGCATTGCATAGCATCTTGCAAACAGGAGCACCGCGAACTGAAAGTTGCACGGAGAGTTCCACAGTTGCCGTCCCTCACAACCTCCTGTTGTGCTCAGGAACATAGCCCTATCCTATTGGAGAAGAGGCAAAAACCCTGCAAGAGATCAGCAGCTGGTCAGTTTCTGTCAACTTTTGTAAGCGTGATGGCCCGGACCATGGAAAGAGGGAAAGACCTAATCAGGTAGGGAAATTCTTGAATAACCAGCGAATCACCCACGGCATCTCCCTAAATTCATCCTTTGTGGCCTCAACGAGACAAACGAACAAATAGGGAGGACTATGAAGGATGAATCAAAAGTTGAACGTTCCAGAGCTGCCACGGTGTGTTGATTACAGTAGTGCACTGGTATGATACCGTGCTGGAGACACAGTGGAGAGTAAAGGTGGTGGTTGTTTGTTTGCATAAATTGTCTGTGCTCTGCCACGGGAGGCTTAACTGCGTGGCTGTAACTATGATAATAACTTACATGTAACTCTGAGTACCATATCATCATACGGTACTCGAGTACGCTAAACTCATGTGTCAAAAGTACTGTCCCACTTCGCTCCATCAAAAAAATCAGAGCTCAAATTACTCGACCAACCACTACTACCCCCCCCCCCCCCACTCTTGAATATCCACAACTTTATCAATCCTACTCCAGAATGTCTGCTATTGGGATTAAGTGCAAAGAGTCAGACCCCAGGAGGAGCACACAAAGATCTCACTTCTGTCAAATGTGCAGTCATTGTTGCGGCATGAGAGGCTGGTAGGTTATCAGTGGAATTAGCGCTCGAGTTTGACTGTGATTGCAGAACAATCTCACATATAGTAAAACGCTGGAAAGACCACAACATCTTAGGTGCACACTCCCAATCTGGGAGGCCAAAGAAGCTCACACTTGTGGAGAAGAGATATGTGTGGCAGATTGTCAAGTGACATCCAAGAATCGCTTGGAAAGCACTTGTAGCAGAGAGCCCTGTTGCCATAAGTGTCTCTATCCTATGCTGTGCTCTTGGGAACTCTTACCGGTGTAAATGGAGTACGAAGAAGCACATTCCTTTAAAGCTAATTGATGTGGCTAAGCGCCTAGCATACGCAAGAATCCTGAAAGGAAAGGACCAAATGCTGGCAGAGGTTAGATCTCTTCTATCTAGATCTTCTAGCAAGCTAAGCTAATTGGAATTTACAGGGTACTTACTGGGATGAATCTACCGTACCAAACAATCCTTCTACTCCAAATAATTAGCTCTTCCAGCTGCCTAGTCAAATATATGATAAAGATACAGTCAACCTACAAGCACACATTAAACCAGAGTGGTCACAGATGGTCTGAGGGTGTATTTGGTTGGGTAGCCAGTCAGACCTGGTGATTCTGTATTGAGATGAGGCTGCTCCATGCAAGGGATACTTGTCAAAGTCCTATATTCAGACTCTCAAGGAAGGTCTTCTTCCCTGCTATCAACCTGGAACATTTTTTCTACAAGACAATGCCAAGATCCATACTTCCAGGGCCACAATGGCCTGGTTCCGCTGCAATAATATTCAGCTACAGCCACACCCCATATTGTCCAGATTTGAACCCAATAGAATGTCTGGAAAGTGATGAAGACTATCCTACAAAAGCACAACCCTCACTTATGGATGTTAAAGAAGAATGAGGCCAACAGGCTCATATTTGAGGTTGCCCTGAAGGCAGCATGGTGGGCGGTTCTGCAATCATTAATTGATAGGTTGATTAGATCTATGCTGCGCCACCTGTGTGCAGTGTGTAAAGCCTGAGGTTATTATACAAAGTATTGAAGGACAGTTAATTATGATTAATTTAAATATACATTCATTTAATTTGGGTTTGGTTTGGTGAAGGAATGGTGAAGGAATGGCCGTTGTTGTGCCCATGGTTGTTGTCAGACACTCGGTTGACGGGGGTGTGGGACAGTACTTTTGAGAGGTCATTGTACCGGTAGAGGTTCCACAATCCGTACCCTAAGCTGGTAATGCAGTGATGGCCAAAAAGCCGAAGGGTTTTTCGGCACTCGGGAAAGCTCAGTATCACATGATATCGCCAAACAATCATCGAATACTTATCTCTTGCTCAGCTCTTTAAATTTAATAGTGGGCATTTTTTTTTATGCAAGAGAATGATTGGGACAACTCGAGACGTTCGAAATTCCTGACCAGGCACTGTCTCTGGAGAAAGGCCCACGGCTGCCTGAGCGATTTTCGTGTCCACGTGGGTGGAAAACCGCTGGGAGATCGGGATCAGACATCACCCATCCATCCCCTGGTGTTTTTCTTCCGAGAGGAAAAGGAAAAAAACTTGCTTCTTGAACCTTGATTATCCGTGCTTCTCAATGGGGATGTGGAAGGAATAGGTTGCGCAATGGTCGGTTTATGCTGAGGCCTTCTTGCCCTCACTTTCAATACTGGTACCGGTACGACAGCGGCAGTACTCCACTGCATGATACTGGGATGGCACCACACCTTAACGGTTACTAAGCACCGCTGAGCCCTGAAGATCCCGGTGCATCATACTTGTAGCTTCCAAGGCTGCAATATTCCACTAATAATATTCCGTTCTGCAGATGTTTTCCCTGCAAACCTCAAGTACAGTACTACCGGTACCTATCGAAGCACAATTATGTACACCACCAACGGTCAACTTGGGGTACTTGTGGCCTTGTCAGACTCGCGGACTAGCACGGCGCATCCTATAGCCGCGTTTTCTTGAGGGATTGGGGTTAATGTCAATGGAAGAACTACTTATGAAACTGGTACTCGCTCGTTTGAAGTTGGTTCTCTATCTTTTCCCTCACGGCCATCACCGGGATCAATCGGGCCTAAGTTAACGCATAGCCAGAAGAAATTTTGGGTTATTAATTCACAATACCCAGCATTGTCGGTGTTCAGGAGTGGCGGCCCTCTGAATACATTATCGGTATTTACATCATCTACTGCGTGGAGCACCAGCACCTTCCCTTCATCCAGTCTTCTCACGCACTTGTTCTCATGTGTTGTAACCGATATTACGGGAAACTTCCCCCCTGTTCAGCTTGTTGTGGGGAGGTACAGAGGAGCTGAGGGTGGCGAGAAGGGGCCTAATGATCACTGCCCCGATCTGACGCGTCTTAGCAATAATTACCGACAGTTTTAATGACTCGAGCTCTCATACTGCAGTCGCCTTCTAGTATCTTATAGAATTTCTATAGGCATGTGCAACAGGATATGATACATGTCATGCTCTGAGGCCGTGCCATGTACCGGTAAAGGCAGCCGTGCTATATCCCTCGTACTCGAGTACAGTGCTCGACTACAGTAACTAAAAATGGAGAGAAAAACGGCTGATCTGATCGACCAAGAGATACCGTATGACAACAATGCCATTCTGGAAATTGTCCCTCGCCGTCAATGGCAGCTCCCATGCACCCTCGATATTTCAGGGCATCCTCTGAAAACCAAAAAATCGGACCCCCCCCAAATCGCGGGGAAATGGTGGAGAATAGAACTCAAGACCTTTTCCCCTCGTGTCGTGGAGGTGATGTATTACAGATCCATTATCAAGATACCGATATAGTACTATACCTATTTTGCCATGGATTCGCATCTGAATCCCCGGGAAAATATCTACGGTAGTAGCCTGGGCGAGTATTCTCCCAAATGCTTTTTAATAATCCTTGTCATACTCACACTTTTCAAAGTTCGATGATTAACGTTAACTTACTCGTACAACGCTCTTGCATGTTCGCATTTGTGCCGATATCCAGAAAGCAGGTCTCGGTCAATAGCCCTCCGTGTCAGCAGCACCTTTCACACAAACCCTTATTCAGGTCACATTTGACGGCGCTGACCACCGAAGCCCAAATATTGAAAATACTTACTATGGACTTGATATCGAAAACACGATATGAAAGACCTTGTGCAACGGGTTCGGAAGGTGTCTTGCAAAGGGCACTAGAACAGAATTGGGATATAACGTTCAGGCATGATATCGGCACCGGAAAACGATTAGAAAGGCTGGACTCGACCTAACCCTCTGCCAAGCCCTGAGGTCCAATTACGCAAAGGACCCACCCCATGCGCGTCGTTCTGGGGAAAAGCTATTCGAGCTCAAAAGGGTATGTGTGAGCACGGTACGACATGATACTGTTATCTACGAGTAATTTAAAGTATACCTTCCGCAACTAAAGATGGGCACTAACTTACTACTGTAGATATCACTGCCGACTTGTTAAAATATTTACATCTGAACCCCTCGACAGACTCCCCCCATCCTATATATTTATGTCCTGTTATCGGTTTTCTTCACCAACTACTTACCGTAGTGCAACTAAAGGATAGGACGCAAGAGTACCAAGCACAGTACTCTGAACGAGACAGGCGGATCATGCGACACGACATGAACGAGGTCATTCTCCATAGTACAGTACCGGTGCTATACGAGTACGGTATCTGGTATCTGTGGTAACCGTGAAACCGTGGCCTTAATTCCCCCTGGGGCAAGCTGACTTCAAGCCGAGATTGAGCTTCGTTCAAGTTAACGGTCCACAGAGTTCAAGTACAGCACTAGTACAATATCTTCCTTCGCGAGCAAGAGTAACCACGATAGTTGCGACTGTACTGTACTCGCACTCGAGTACCGTACAGGTACAGTATCGTATTATCCTCATGCACGGCCCCCACAGCAGGGTTCCCTGACCCCCTGGCTGCAGAGTCGCTGAAAACAGTACCGGTACTCGTACGGTACTGTGAGAACTCTTGCGATTCGCTATCTCCCCCTTGTCGAGAATATCCCTGCAAATCACGACATCAGCCCAAGATAGGATTAGCTTGGCATGTTAACGGAATTGCGAAAGCCAGTTACCGGTACCGTATTGAGATCCAATACAACCAATGACTCGGGCTATCCCGTGTCAGGAAGGCACTAATCCCTCTTAAGAACCTTGGTCTCGGCATCCCAAGATTAGCGACCAAACGGAGATAGCGAATCGCAAGAGTTTTTGCGGCAACTTGTGCCATGATGATCATACTGGTGCACCCGTATGATACTGCACCATGTTTCTCACTTAGCTGGAGCACTTGAGAGTGTTGCTTACTAGGTTTGGTGCTCGTGTCAACTGGAGATCTCACTACTATAGCGCCATCACATTAACTTGGAAAAGAGAAATTTGTCTGAGGGCGTCGAGATTTCCCCTCCAGGCAACGCGTTGTTTTCTCGTGGTCCAGGCAAGCCATTGTTGTCTCATCCCGTTCTCGAGTACCGGTAATGAAGCTATCCCAACAGAGCCTCCTTTCCTGTCATTGGAGTCTGCTGATTAAGAAGAGCGCTCTCCCAAGTTCAGGAGAGATAGCCGCCGAGCCCAGCGTCATGACCACCGAGATCCTGAACCAAGGAAGCGACCGCATGCAAAGGTGGTACCGGAGCTTCCGGGCGATTTGGTTTGTGCAAAGAAGCCCTCCGCTCCGGAAAGATATCTATAATATCGTACCACCTGAGATTGGAATGGCTTGAGTGGGCCGGAATAAAGTGGCCCGATTTCGTATTCCGATACATCCACACAATATGAGAACGAATAAGTTGTCGGCGGGGAACTAGGGTTGAGTGATATCGCCCCTGTTTTTCCTCAGCTTCCTTTTCCCCGAGGGGTTTCCCGGTTTCCTTGGGGGAACCAAGGGAATTTTAAGGTATATATCTCCTCCCCCTTCACTACGCTTGACAGTACTCGACCGAGCACACAGACTCATAAACTCGAGAAAAAAGGAAAATCAGCAAGTGTGGTACGCCATTGTTTATACTCGGGTACCCGGTTTCCTCAAATCACCCGAAATCCACGAACTAGAGTTGAAGTACAAGGGACCACGAGCAGTGCCTCTCTTGCACATATCAAAATACCCAGGGTTCCCTCTTCCGTACATCCCAGTCGGTCAATCTTAGCCGCGCTCTACTGTGCTCACTTGGTGGTCCTATAGAGCAAAAACATTGATTGGAAGCCCATGTTTCTGATCTGAAATGGTCGCTTAACCAGGCGTGGGTGCACGCGTGAGGGCGGATACAGGCTTCACGGATTAACGCGTTTTAAGGGATGCCGCTTGTTCAGACATACGGCAGGTATGAAGTGGCCTACGGTAGACTGACTCATCTGATTGTTTCACCATGTAGAAACCCCATCCCCAGGCCTCACCAAACTCAGCATGATAGACTGGTTCTCTACGGTAGAGAGATTCCACATCGGGCTCGGGTTACTCGAGTACAGCGCTCCAAGCCGAGTGTCTTGCACAGGAGGATCGAAGCGTTTTGGGAATCGTGTCGGTTTAAGCGTTTTTTTTTTCTTTTTTCTCTCTCTCTTTCCTTTTTTGCATACCGATAGGATTTGTGGGTAGGTGAGAGAGGGAGGAGGAGGTCTTGGATTACTTTTCGGAGATTTTTAGGCTCAAATTTCGGATATTGGAATAGCTGTGCGTATAGTACCGGTACTTCATGATGTGTTCGATGCCTAGCCAAGATAGGCCCCCCCAAAATACGGTAACTTATGATACCTCGACAAGAAACGTATCAACACCGGACTATAATAACCATTCCTCAATATCAATTCTTATGCCAATAGAGAATCGGTGGTTTTGGGCTCCGTCAAAAGTTGTTAAGGCTAAAGTTGGTGCATGATCCACTAATATCATGCTCGAGTGCTACCGCACCAGTAATACGAGTGAAAAAGCACTAGCGAATCCTGTTTGGGCCTAGCGCATACCAAATTTGCATCAGCGAATCGATATATTTTTTGAATATCTGTCAAGGGAGGCCTGATCTCGGTGTACCGTAGCACACCATAGACTATCGAATCTGAGACTCGAGCAGGGAGATTTGGGGAGCGGGTTATCGTAGACTACTAAGTCGTGCTCCAAGCTCAACCTGCGACCGGGCAGGCGGGAGGATACGATAGTGCTACCGTACTGTGCTCGTTTACAGGAACAGAACAAGTGAGATGGACAATCGTGCCGCGCAGTACCGGTAAGTCACCATCCAATCCTCCCCACTCCAGACTGCATCCCCCCCTCCTCTCTCAAATGACGGTCTGCCAAACTTTCCTTATCATCCCCCCTCCCATCTACCGGTGCCTACCTATCTATGATAACACGATAGAGTACAACTACCGTGATATGTACCATTACAGTACTCTACCGAACCCCCCCCCCCCGCGCACGCCTTCAAGGACCTTCAAGTTATCCCTCTGTCTGTCATATGGCTCAGATCTACCATTTTTTGGGAGATGATGAATGAGTGAAGGTGTAAATAGATTTGTGGGCACACAGCCCGAGCATCCGGGGAGCAGAGAAGTGGTGGGGGGTTGTTTCATGTTCAATTTTTGAGAGTACCGGTACTGTACTGTACGAGTACTGTGCTATTATGCTCGTGTGGGCAGTATATATCGGTATTATAAAAATGCCATGGATTCTTGTGTTTTAGCATACGATGCCGCTGAGTCCGAGTCGTCTCCCCATTTTGAACATTATCCCGTGTTATCCCTTGGTCCGTCAGAACACGCAAGGGATTGGTGGAGTGCTCGTACTGTAGATCTCAGTCTGGAGCTCTGGTGACTTATTTATTTATTTCCAGTTAAGGGCCACTTTCTCGACTGGATCTCTTGGGTTCGATAGCACCCGACGAACCACTGGGTGAGCGAGAAGGAAGACTTGATAGTAGGTTTGTTGTCAGGGTGGGTAGCACGGTATCGGATGGATGGATGGATATATATATAGTAGCAAAGTTGGATGGGAGGGAAACGCCGTTTGCTGTATCGTACTCGGCCAGAGGAGAGGGGAATGTGGTCCCTCGGCCCTCCCGTTTTCCCGGTATCCCCGAACTTCCTCAGCACCGGCACACCGTACAGTACTGTACCCGTACGAGTACAATCCCGCACGCAACCGAGCACGATCAGGCCGGTTAATTATGGCCTCTTATCGGCTCGCGAGGAGGAGGGGGGGGGCACTTTGGGGACAATCTCTGTGTTACAGGTACGGTCCCACAGCAACGATGTTGAAACCGGCCACTCACGCACAAGCAAGAGGATTAGAGCCATGACTAAGCCCGTTCGTTGGTTGTGCTCGAAAGAAAAAAAAAAAACACCCTCTGCCAAGAATTTCTGCCTTACCCCCCCCCCAACTTATCTACCGGTTATTATATCAGGCCCGTCGAGTCGTTCTTGGCGAAGACTCTTGGGTGGGATGTCGTGAGAAAGCTTTCGTGGGGGTAAATTAGTTGTGGAAGGATTAACCTAACACTTGTATACCTGCCGAATGGACCGTTGGTATCATACAAGTAAAAGTACCGGTATCGGCATGATGCTTGGATTGGTCCAGATTGCGATGCCTTCCCACCGCGATCGAACCACGGTCTTGGCTCAAGCCATTTTTCGCCATCAAAAATGGTAAAAAAAAAAAAAAAGAAGAAAAAAAAGTTGGTGGCGTGCATACTCGAGTACCGATATACTATACTCTAGCACTCGTACTTGTACGTACCGATAGCTTATTACCGGCTGGTTGCTTGTCCTGGCATCTGACTCCAGCCAGCATGTTGTGCGACTGGCTCACATAAACCTTTTTTTTTTTGATTGATTGATTCAAAATACGGGAAAAGGCAAAAAAAAAAAAAAAAAAATTTTGTGATGGTCACATTTTTATTTTATTTTACCCACAGTTCGTACCGCCTTGGCATTTTTGGAGGTCGAACGGGAGGATTGGAGTTGCTGAAGTTTTTGCCTTTTGGTCAGAGGTCGTTGTCTGTTTTGCATGATTGCCTCTGCGGGAGATGGGAGTGTTATGGCACTGTTGTGTCGAGTGAGGGGGTGGTAAAGGCAGAGTGATTGGTGCTTGGATATCGTGAGAGAAGTTTTGGTGGTGGTGGAATAGGAATAATGATATAGCGAGTACTAAGTACTTTTACGGTATACCGGTGTTCTCAGCGTGGTATCTCACTTTGGATGATTTTTGGGCAGATATCCTGGATCATCTTCTTGTAGCGGGGTCAATGTACTAGTACTGGGTACCTTTGTAGCCAAAGCACAGTTAGTTTTACAGTAATTAAGAGAGAAGATCGTGTAGCGCGATTCGGGCAAGCGACTGAGTGCCGAATTCTTACTCTCCATGTTCTAGGCCTGGCATCGACTGTTAAGAGAACGTTTTATCTTTCTTCCTTCCCCAGGGCTTTATTTTTCCATTTGTCGTGCATGGTGCTGCACCGGTGCTGTACGAGGCTATCTGTAAAATTCCCTGACACCCCCGCCTACTTGCACCAAAAATGGGCAGTTTCACTTTACAAAATCCCAGATTTGCCACCCTGTAAAAAAATTGAAAAATTTCTAGAGCCTTTGGAGCCATCTAGGTATCATCATTTGTAAGTGATGAGCTCTGTTGGTTGGTGGCCATGGTGCAATACAAGAAATACCAATTGTGGACAAGGGATACTTCTAATTTTATATGGGTTTCCCATACAAAAGGTACATTTCAACTTTCTATGCAGAGATTCCAGGTAATTTCTTTTACAATGGAATTGATTTCCTTATAATTCTCCGTTGCTTTTGGACAAGTTGAGCATGCTTAGTGTTCGCCATTTTTGGTGTAAAGTGGGGGGGGGTGTCAGCGAATTTTGAAGATAGCCTCGTACAGTGCGGAGCCGGGGTTGTTACTGTTCCCCGAGGGCGCCGCTATGCTTTTTAGGGACTGGTCAGGCGCTTTAATATATTACTCCGCAGAGGCTGAGTTTAGAAGACGAAAAGAGAGTACCGGTATCCTAGAAGAGAGTACCGTAGGGCACTTACGGTGGTTGTCCTGACCCTACCGTATGACACCCCGCTTGAATTGCAGCTTGAGTATCATACGGTATTGGAGAAGAGGACTGATACAAAGTCGCATTTGCTGGGACTAACAAGGGTGTCACTCCTCAAGCACAGTGTATGCCGGTAGACCTTCAAAGCACACCAGCAATGCTGGCGTGCGGTTTTGGCCCTCACGGCCAATTCCTGTCTTTTGCGCTGCGTTATTTCTGTTATACTGAGAGAGACCGTTAGCTAGGACTTCCCCTTAGAAAGTTGGATTCATAGTTACAGATATACGATCGAATATACAGAACGGATGAACATGGTACTTTCCATCAGCGTGCCAGTGGCCAACACCTGCATAAGAATTGAGAAATTAAATATATCATACCTGTTGGGGGAGACCCAAGCCATTTCTAACCTAATTCCGGAAACCTAGAAGTACAGTAACATTACCGAGGGGGCGAGCGTTGGGGGCATCACAGCTGAGAGTGCAAATGGAGGACAGGGGCAGCAGCAGTGATTGAGGAATTTGTGCTGAGGCTCGGCGAGAGCACTTAACCGTGCTTGCATGTTGAGGTTTCTGTGATTCCCATGAAGCCGAAGGGGAGCAATCGCCGGGCTGTGCTCTTGTGGTAAAATCTGTTCAAGTGAGAGGAGCAGTGTCAGTATGGACTGTCTATTGCAGGAACGGAATTGGTCGGACCAAATTTATATCATGGGAATTTCTGTGAGTTGGTTGGCAATGAGAAGTCCCATAAGCCCCTGCAAGGAAAAACACCTTCAGTGCTCGGGCATGCGGTGCACCAGCAGGTAGTGTAATAGTTCAAAACGAAGCTTTGTTTGCCGAGGCTGTGGAGAAGAGTGGGTGCTGAGTGGAGGAGATTTCTTCGTTAATTAGTGGATTTCCAGAGCTTGAGCAACTGTGATAGAAATTCCGCTCTCAATTGGATTAAACATTCAGGGGCCTTGGTTGGCTTTATACCATGAATTAATCACTTGATGACGACAAGTCACACCTTTAGTACATGCCCTGGTGAAATTCTGAGTGCCTGAATGCGAGCACCGCAATGGCGCTGGCCCGAATGTGTATAACGGGGTGGCTTCCATATGGGTAATGATCATGTGGGCGGATTGTTTTTGACCCAGTCGTCCCAAAAGTATGTGCGCACTGATCACAGTTTGTATGTAATCAAGGGACAGGAGTAGACCGAGTAGTGAGACAATCCCGAGCTCATACCGGTATGCCTGTACGAGTAAATTAAAGCGGTGCTTGCCATTGCAACTGAATAACAACTTATCTAAGTAATTATCTAATATCGAGCGGTCATTTCCGAGAATAAAGGCGACCATAGTTATGACAGCGGCTGTGACCACCAACTGGAGTTAACAATCGAAATTTGAAGAAAATCTCCATCTACAAGCCGTTACCCCTCCACGCAGTATTTACCACCGATGTCCTCGACGCTATTTCCGCTTTCCGCTTCGATGGACAAGACAAACGTTCGCATTTTTGGAGAGGGCTATTCTTCCCCGTGCCCCCTAGTTATCGGGAGCCCATCATGGTCCAGTAACAGTCACTGACAGAAAATTGGAATCGTTACGATATTCAATCCTTCTCTCAACTGATTGAATTGGATAGCCCCTAAAGGACCGACAACACGGAAAAGCCACCCCCAGACCTACCACCCTGGAATCAGCAAATAGAGCTGATTAAACGTTGATTATGGGTGCCAGTCTGCTTGGTACTAAGGCGAGTGGCGTTCAAGGAAAACGGTTTTATCCCTTAGACTGGGAGGTTTACAGCTTTTGAGAACTTTGTAGAGCACCATTCAATCTTTAGCAACATAGATTGGCACATAAGTTAGCTAATACCTACGCTCAGTGTCCTGTGGTGCTTGTGCTCGGATACTCTGGCGGTTCACGCAAGCGCTCAGACGATTCCTATGAGAAGGATACAGTATCCCGGGCAACAATTGATAACTATCACCGCGTTGTTCTTCCGATATCAAGATAGTTAGTAGTGTAAATTTATCACTACGAGTCATTGCAGACTACTCGAGTACCGGTATTCAGAGGATTTCGATGGTAGACTAGTGCTTTTTTCACTAGGTTTTGTCCAGCAAGCAATGACACCCCATGACATCACCTGGTTCCATCCGGTTTTCGTCATCAAACAAATCTACTAGCACCCTACGCTACTCCTCAGGCCTCTTCAAAACTGCCTTTCAATCCCTCTCACTTACTCGAGTGCGACTGCATTCCTCAACTTCTCTATAGGCAAAAAAAAACCCCCCCTGGACGATACCTTTGTTCAACCGGAAATATTTAAAGCCCTTTGACCTCAGTTACCACCAGTCTTAGCCAATGGGGCTCTGGAGCTCCCGAAAGCCCGACGATGAGGTTGACAATGAGGATGCCGAATCCTCGTATAGGCCCGGTCAAAGAGATCCTGACGAGAGGACCAGTTTGTTACCTCCTGCTACGGACGACCACCACCTCGATCCAGATGATCCAGCTGTCACACCATACAATCTTTTGTCCGTGAGATCGATGAGATGGGTTTCTATCATTCTCCTAGCGATCTCCTCCCTGTGGTGGATTCTTCTGCTGATATCCACCTTTGTGACTCCGCCGGCAATGCACTCGCGGGGAAGTGGCTTCTTTAGCTTCGCGTCAGTACCTCCTTTAGGCGCACCCGAACCAGTTACTAATGTATCGCTCTAGCTATGCGACACTTGCTACTGGAGGCTTAGTGGTTCTTCTCATATCTTACGTTACGCCCTCCAGATCAGAGCAATACTCTTGGATTGCTCTTTCTATCCTGTTCTTGGTCGACACGATCATTGTTTTGTCGGTATCACGTATCCGTGGGGAAGAGGGATGGGTGGGAATTGTGTCTGTCATAGGGGCATGTCTGGTCAGTGCCTGGGCTGTATGTGAATATCCTTCTCAGATTTCTCTGGCCCGGATTGCTGCTTCCAGGTATCTGGTGGTGGTGGTGGTAGGCTAGACTAATGCAACCGGTTTGGCAGGTACTTTGTGACCGCGTTGTCGAGTACGGAAAGGTTGAAGAGGAGGAGCGTTTGACGGGGCGTAGGGAAACAAGGAGGTCATTGAAAGAATGGCTTTCTGTTTTCGCCGTCACCATAACCCTCATCGCCTTTATCGCACTGGCTGTCCTGTTCACCGGAAATCTGATTATTCGTGCTCGCGACTTGTCTCTTGCACCCCCCGGAACGAGATATTTTGTGGATAGCCAGAAGTATGAGGTTCACATATTTTGTCTTGGGGATGAAACAGATAGCCGGGGAAAGAAAGTAACTACCGTCTTGTTGGAGGGAGGGGAGGATCCAGTTGAATATGGACTCGAGGGCTGGGTAAGGGATGCGCTTGGAAACAAGACGATCAATCGTTATTGCTTTTGGGATAGACCTGGCATGGGTTTTAGCGAAAATGCTCCCAGTCCTCTATCAGCGGGTATGGCTGTGGATGCTCTGTCCGAGGCACTTTTGAGGGCCGATGAAACCGGGCCCTGGGTCTTGGTTTCCCATGGTGCTGGGGGGTAAGTACTTACTTTCTTTAGCTATTTCAACGATTTAAAACTAACAATTGATTAGCATATATTCTCGCATCTTTGCCTCCCGCCACAGCACGGAGGTTAAGAGCTTGCTCCTAATTGATGCTCTTCCCGAGTCTCAGCTTGACCGTATAGGGTCTGCTGGTCGAGGCTTCGTTCTGTGGTTACGTGGAATCCTAAGCCCCCTCGGGATTGATCGTTTGATGGGAGCGATTTTCAGAGGACGTTCACGCAATGATCGTGTGATCGGCCGGTCTGCCCATCAAAATCCCAAACAGATCAAAGCAAAACTTCAGGAAAACCTTGTGGCGACAACCTTTACGAAGAACGAGATAATTGCTGCACGCGCTATTCTACCCAGAGATATCCCCGTTGTGGTCACCAGCTCCGGGAAAGCTGTAAAGGCGGACAAAAGATGGGATGATGGTCAGAGGGAGTTGACCAAACTGACGGACAATTTAGTAGCCTGGGATGTTGTGGACCATTCACCGCACGAAGTTTGGAACGACCCTCAAGGGCGCGCGCTTTTGGAGAAGAGAATAGGCGAGTTGGTGCGCCAGAAGCAATAATAATGTTTCTGGGGTTGTCGGTCGTTACCCATTGGAATAACAGTCCTTGCGCAGTCGTCTTTTTCTCTTTTTTTTTTTTTTTTTTTTTTTTTCTTTTTCCATGTCTTTGTTGAAGCAAACCGCATGTGATTGGCATTATGTTCTGGAAATATATGGGGATTCTGCTCCGATTGAGAAGCTGCTACAAGTACAGGTATGTCTTTGGATACGAGGGGAAAATACCGTAGTGCATCATCTCGATACCGTATCGTGTTCTAAAGTTTTTGTCCGCCAGCAAGTTTGGTTGTTGTGAGTCGCTAACTTACCCCATGACTGTTATCGCAACTACGTTAACCTGTTTTTTTCAACTAAACCTATCGTGGGCTGACTGGCTGCTTTTTGTAGATAATCTGATAGCGGTAGTGGATTTCAAGAATTTTACTACCGTACTCGGCCTTCGTGATGACTTGAGCATGTCACTCGATAAACATTGAACAAGCTCAAGTCTCTAGGGGTGGCGATTTGGCACAGCGCGTTGAACACTTGCGTGACATCAACGTAACGTAGCTTACTTGCTCCAACCGGACCCCTTTAAAGCTTTATCATAGGAAAGCTTCAATTTCATGTTAGTCGCGGGGGCCCTCATGGTTGAGCAGCCTGGAGGTCAGCGGAGGTTGGTTGTCGTGAGCTGAGCCGATTCCAACCGAGGAGGGCTACATGGTGAAATAATGATCAAATCAGTGGGCACGACATTGTACGAGTACTCGAGTACTGTACTTGTACTCGTACAAGATGTGAACCCAACCAATTTGGTTTTCCAAAGCACTCGAAACCAGTTTGCAGGGATCAAGTTAGAACCGACGATGGCCGTTGCATACAAGTAGACTACCCGATAGAAGGTTAAGTAAACAGTTTCATTTAGGTTGCTCAACCAGCCAAATAATCCCTGTCTTTGGAGAAAAACACCTCCCTAGCACTCTTACCTTTGACACCGTGACCAATTTTTACTCCACAGGCAAGCCCCGTGCCTAACCTTGCGGTAGGGTACGCCGAAAACTCTCCCCGTTTTTAGTAGGCAGGCCCAGGGTGGATTGTGGGCATTAGACTTAGACTATCCAAGGCATGTATCTGTACGAGTGCAGTACAACGGCGACAGCAGCCTTTCGACTTTGATCCTCCCCTTCCCCCCCTCCAACTTTTCAACCATCTTGTTCACTCAATCTCCCTTTTATTATCCATCTAGCTCCCCGGCGATCCGAATCTTGTAAGAAGAAAAATATTTTCCTTTCTTCCATCCATTCGTCCCTCAATTTCACCTCTTACCCTCTTTCTCCCTCTCTATACACTTCTCGGGTGCTTGATTGTTGTCTTGGTGGGGTTTTTCATCTGCCTATCAGCACTAAACCACTCTTGTATCTCTACTCCCCTCGCCTCATCTCCCTGCCCACCCCTGCTCCCCAAATACATCAGCTATGGGATCACGAGTATTCACCCGCACACTCCTTACAGCTAGACCTCGCATTTCCAACACCGCGATCCGCCCACCCCAGAACCTAGGATATCTGATGGCAACTAAGAAATACGCTCTCCATGGCTCTGCCAGATACTCTAGCGCAGCGTCCTACATAAATAACCACGACAGAATCGCCTCTCCTATCAACACAAAGTATTTTATTGACAACCAATTCGTTGACTCAAAGACCACAGAATGGATAGACCTGCACGACCCCGCGACTAACAACCTTGTCACAAGGGTGCCGCAGTCTACTGACGAGGAATTGAAGGCTGCGGTGGACTCCGCTGCTAAGGCTTTTCCGGGTTGGAAGGCTACTAGTTTACTCGCTAGGCAGCAAGTCATGTTCAGATTTGTTGCCTTGATTCGTGAGAATTGGGATAGGCTTGCGGCTAGTATTACGCTTGAGCAGGGGAAGACTTTCGCCGATGCTAAGGGGGATGTGCTGCGGGGGTTGCAGGTTGCTGAGGTGTGTTATTGTCCCAATTGAGTTGATTTGTAGCTTTACTGACTATTTAGTGAAGACTTCTTGTGGTATTACTACTCAATTGACTGGTGAGGTGCTCGAGGTCGCCAAGGATATGGAGACCAGAAGCTATAGAGAGCCTTTGGGGATTGTTTCGGCAATTTGTCCCTTTAGTACGTTTACTTTCGGTGTCTGGGCGAGAATTTTGTGCTAATTTGGAGTACAGACTTTCCGGCAATGTAAGAGTTTTGTTCGGGATTGTTACGATTGAGGTTAATAGTTGTTTAGGATTCCTCTGTGGTGTATTCCTCTTGCCACGGTTACTGGTAACTGCTTGATTCTCAAGCCTTCCGAGAGAGAGTAAGCTGTCTTATCTTTTATTCTGATATTGAGCTACAGCTGAAGAAAATATAGCCCTGGTGCTGCTATGATTCTTGCAGAGCTCGCCAAGGAAGCCGGTCTACCAGAGGGTGTTTTGAACATCGTTCACGGTGCCGCCAAGACGGTCAACTTTATCATTGATGAGCCCAGAATCAAGGCTATCAGCTTCGTCGGTAGTGACAAAGCAGGAAAGTACATTTACACTCGTGGATCCGAACAAGGAAAACGTGTGCAGGCCAACCTTGGAGCGAAGAACCATGCATGGTATGCCCCCAGATCAGCTGCGGCGGGTTGAGTGCTAAATGTGTTCCCAGCATCATGCCCGATGCAAATAGAAACGCTACCGTTAACGCTCTTGTGGGAGCTGCGTTCGGGGCTGCTGGACAACGTTGTATGGCACTTTCTGCTATAGTGCTTGTTGGTGAAGCCCAGGAGTGGCTGTCGGATGTAGTTGAACAGGCGAAGCGGCTTAAGGTCAATGCAGGGTTTGAGGAGGGTGCTGATCTTGGACCGGTCATTTCAAAGCACTCTAAGGAGAGAATTGAGAGTCTTGTCCAGAGCGCTGTTGATGATGGTGCCACACTACTATTGGACGGCAGGGGATACAAGCCCGAGAAATACCCCAACGGAAATTTCGTATGTGATTAAGCTTAGCCGTCCCGGTGCACCGCTAACTAGTTCAAGATTGCCCCAACAATCATTTCCAACGTCAAGCCTCACATGAAGTGCTATACCGAGGAGATATTTGGCCCTGTTCTTGTGTGCATGAATGTCGACACATTCGAGGATGCTGTCGACCTTATCAATGCCAACAAATATGGTAACGGGGTCGCCATCTTCACCAATAGCGGAGCTACCGCAGCCAGGTTCCAGCGTGACATCGAAGCCGGCCAGGTTGGAATCAACACCCCTATTCCCGTTCCACTACCCATGTTCTCTTTCACCGGAAACAAGGGATCTATCGCGGGACAGGGTGGAAATTACTTTTATGGGAAGTCAGGACTCAACTTTTACACTCAGTTGAAGACTGTTACCTCGTGCGTGCGCCCGAAGTCCTTGGTCTTTCAAAGAGCGACACCAACTGACACACATGCTAGGTTGTGGAGAAGCTCCGATGCAATATCGACCAAGGCTTCCACAGCCATGCCCACCCATTCATAGATTCATAGGGAAACCTTTTCCGCTGTAGTATCTGATGATTTCTGGGGGCCTTTCGCGTCGTTCTGTTTTCGTTCTGTATATCGGAAATGCCTTTTTCTTGTATTCTGAGACAAAACGGGAGTTCCTTCTCGTAGAGGCGATAGTTTTGCGGCAGTAATAAATGAAAATTATTTCCCTCCTTCCTTCTTGCGTGACACCGTAACCGTCCTCGCTGGATCATATACATAAGTGTTACGTCACTTTTGTAGGTTGAGATCCTGCGTGATTGAAATCGGGTGGTTTCTGTGCAGTACGAGTACGAGTACTTGTAGTCGGGCATGCAAGCGGCCACGGCGTACCAGTAGACTATATTTCGACCAAAGCGCGTCGACTGCTTGTGGGACGCGTACAAGATGGTACCGGTATTGATCATGTACGGTATTTAAAGCCAGACAGTCACTCCTATCGGTCGCAATGTCCCTCCCGACACCTTAAACGAGTCTCTCATGCCCGTAGCAATATCTTGCAAGTGTGCGCACACCAACATTCACCGCACATCTACATATATATGTGGGGGGAATTGCAAAGAAATGACCAGACAGCAGTTCCATATGATATTCCGCATGGCCCACGGCCATAGGCGAGGTCCGACAACAAGCAGATGACCGCACCCGTTTAATAATACCCGAGATAATCGACTCTCGAGCATCGGGGGGGGGGCGTTCTCCTCCCTCTCCTAATACTCTAGTACGAGTACTCGTACTGTACTAGATCCCGACCGCACACTTGTACGACGATATGTGCTTCGGTCCAATTACGCGAGCAAGACATGGCATGCGATGGCCAAAAGGATCACGCACAACAAGTCAGGAATCAGATGATAATGCCCTGCCTGCTTGACAGGTTGGTATCTGTCATTGAAACCCTCCTTTCAAATCACACTTACCGGTGCGGTTGAGAGAATGGGGGAAGATGTGGCTTATCGTATGGCAGGGTTTTAGATACGGAGGTTTTTGTGTCGTATGGTATCATATCGTTCCTAGATGCGTAACGTGGCGTGATACGACATCATGTGGGGAGGGGAGAAAGGAAAAGGTTAAAACTGCGACGGTTCCCCCCCGGGGCAGTATTTAGCTACGCTTTCACAGCATAGTAGTGAACGCTACTCTATCATATATATATATATACTCTTGCTGTACCAACACTAGCACGCACAACCATGTCCACAGAACCTGTCTCCCACGGCCGCGGCGGTAACTTCTCCTCCCACCCCGCCTCCCTTCCCCTCCGCTGCGCTAACCAAACGACCAAACAACTCTAGGCCAGGGCAACATAGTCCCCGACGATACAGCCTACGTCGACGGCGAAATTCGCCGCGAAGGCGACCCCACCGCTTCCGGCGGCGCATACAGCTCGGGTGTAGATACCCCCCCTCAACACATATCCTCCTTTGCTTTTGCTAAAATTTTACCAGCGCGGTGGCGCCGCCAATATCGGCAGCCCGAGACAGCTCCCGGTGAGAACCAGTACGGATGCGGACGTAGTACCCAATGTGGCAAAGGTGGAGGCGCATGAGGGTGAGGGGTTCCACAGTGGGCGGGGAGGGGAGGGGAATGTGCAGTTGCCGGAGGGGGTGGGAAAGAAGGGGGGAGCGGGAGGGGGGAATATTAGCTTGGTAGAGAGGTTCAAGAGGAAGCTTTTCGGTTTCATGAAGTAGCGGGGGGTGTTGGGAGAGTGGATGGTGTGGGGAAGAGGGGGTTTAATGGGTAATGATGGGTTATTTTGAATAGTTTTCTTTCCTTCTTTTTGCCTGTTTCATCTTGTCGAATTGCAGTGTAGTGGATCGCCTGCTGTTTTCTTCTTCTTCTTCTTCTTCTGGTTCTCCCTGTTCTCTTCTAAGCTATGCTATTTAGTAGTTTGATACGCTCGTTACGATACCAAGTTGATCCTTTCTCATCATTAACATCACCAGTCCTTCGTTCCCCCCCATTCACCATCACGAGCGCCCGCCACAGTTAATGCCTCGGAATGCAGGCGCTCTCCGAATACCATATCGCACAGGCAGCGCAGCGCAGAGGCCAGCTCGATCAATATCAACCTTGCTACGCGACAATATTGGTGACCCCCGCCTTATCTCGGGAGCTACCGGCAGGGTCACTCTGGGCAGCATGGCATGGCATGGCATGGCATGGCACGGCGTTACCGAAACTTGGCTCGTCGTCGAACACGGGGTTGGCCGCCTGGACACGGGCGAGGAGGAAATCGAGCGGTGGGAAAGGCCGAGTTTTGTTTAGGGGTGGTACGAGTAATGGGATTAAGCTTAAAGTAAAGTACGTGTACATGCTGTTTCAATTCGGTAATCTAGGTGAATACAAGTAGTGCAGTAAGAGTAGTAACTTTCTTGGTTTTCCTTTTCCTTTTTTTTTTTTTGGTTTACACGGCTGGGGACCTTATAAGTACTCTGTTCTGGTGATAGGGGTGTAGCCTTTTTCTTCAATGTTGGCTTTTTTGTGACTGAGAGAGCGCATTGGCGGTACCGCCTCATAGTATGGATATATGGCTGCGGTAGAGGGTAATGGTCCGACGGTTACTTATACATGTCCGAAACCTTCGGCGGCAGCACCAAGGCTGATCGGTCATTCCGTTTGTAAAACTCTACCAACTGTTCCCACCCTCACCATACCTCATTCATTAGCCCTCTCCCTTTGCTGTCCCCACCCCCGCCCACAGAGAGAAGGTGAAAAAAAAAAACTCACACTCCCTGCCGTCTTCCCCGGCGCATCTTCGTGCAAAAAGTGGCCCACCTCTGGTAGTACGACAAGTTGGTACTTCCCCTGCATCTGGCCGATGATCAATTCCCGGTCCAATCTATCCGTCCCCGCAAGAATGAGTAACTTGCCCCCCCGGGCTTCCAGGAACTTCTTGCTGAGTCCCACAAACCAGCCTTGCCAGAATGGCTGCGTCTTTGCTAGGTCGGTACGCCAGCGCCAGGGACGTGGGGGGGAGGAATCGTCTGATGACTCAGGCTGCGTTGTGTCGGTGAGGAGAAGGAGAGCAGGAACAGAGATGCGGGCTGAGGTTGGGTTTCGGATTGTTCTCGAACGGGTGCTGGGGTGGGATGTTAGCCTCTGGAGGGGGTATATAGGAGGAAGGGAGGAGGGGGGGACGAACTGCCATTCGATTCCTTGTGATAGTGAGGTAAATCCTGAAGGTCTCGTAGAAAGGTACGTTTGCATACTCTGCAAAGCGTCGATAGCGCTTCCCTCTACAACGTCCAAAACCACATACCCGAGCACACTCCCGCCCAGCTTCCCGCCCATCGCTACATCCGCTACTACTGCTCCGCCGAGGGAGTGTCCTACAAGGACTAAATCCGGCATTTTCCCCCACCCACACTTCTCCTTTACTAGCTCCAATACAGTGACAAAGTCTTGTGAAAGTGTTGGTAAGCTGAGGTCCTCGTCGTTGGGAGTCCTGGTCTCGCCGTGCCCGCGGGAGTCGAAGGATAGGGCACCGGCTGCTGGGAGGATCTTGCGAATCTCGGAGGCTAACAGGGCAAATGACAGACCGGACGAGCCGGCGCCGTGATGCATTACGAAGAGAGGACCATTGTTGGTGGGACTGGTTAGGTAGGCATGAAAGATGGCGGATGTGGGCTCGTGCAGGAGGTGTAGGGAGGAGGAAAAGTATCGGCTCCAAGGGAGAGGTTCTAGCGAGGCTTTCTTTCGCGGTCTGAATTGCTTCGCTCATTCATTTATTTATTCAATCATTAGCATTCTTGGTAACTAGAATTTGTGGGGAAAGATTGAGCGAGGAGGGGAAATATACTCCGGTCGTGCGAACAACGGTCTAATAGTAGATGTTGAAGAAGCTGATGAGCACGGAGATGAAGGGGTATCCATTCTTGAATCCACGTCGTTCTCTTCTCCTCCTAGGCCATCCTGATCCTCTTCATCGTCGACTTCGTCGAGCGCACCCAGGTGTGAATTCAGAGGCATTGGTGGTTCGAGGGGAAACCTTGCAAGCTTGGATTTTTGGAAGGAGCGTTGGAGGTCACTCATTTTGAGTGGGTCGCTCGCTCGGTGGAGGTGAGGAGTTATCGCATTGGCTGGATTGGGTTGGGGGGAAGGGGGGGTCAGATAGCCAAGGGATAGAATTATAGGTCGAATAGCAAACAAAGGGAGGGGGGACGATTAGAAGTGAATTGTGATTTATGGAAGGTGATGTGTTTATCGAGTTGTGCAGGTAATACCGTAGAGTATGGCACTGGTACGGGGTGAATAGATGGGTGGTCCACTCATATAACGGTTATGGGGTGATTGAAGGGAGGTTGCATCAAGCATTTGGTGAATTTATCGGTTATCGAGATTCAGGGACGAAGGAGAGGAAGCTACTAGAATAGCGGTGCCGATACCGTGGCTGCACATGTTTCATCACGTTGTGCGCATCGGGGAAAACATCTGAGCACGACGTTATCATAACAATGTCATTACCGGTAGAATAGTATCAACGTTCCGACGCGGCTGCGGTGGGTGTGCGCGGTATAATATGTGCGGCCATGCTACCGCACATTTCAGCACTTGTTCCGTCCATCACTGTGCCGGTATTGAGGATGATCCAAAAGGGCACAACAGCACGGGCACGGGGGAGAATTAATCCCGATATTACAGCGTAAAGAGGTCTTTGATATTATAGGTCTTTGATACAGCAGGTCTTGATACGCTGGACCCTGGTGTCTCAATACGGAGTCTCCAACTCCTCGGCCTGATGATAATGCTTGAATTAAGATTAAGCAATAGACTATATTATTATATCCATTGGCCTCTCTACCGGCACCCTATTGTGATTTCTTCGCTTCCCCCTGCTCCTTAGTATCCTCCGCCATAGCCACTAGGACATATGTGATCAGGACAACGTTCGCAACAACCGCTGCCGTAGCCCCAGCAAACGTGGTGTTTCCTGCACAGGTTAATAGGGTTTTGGAGGGTTCGCGTGCGAGACGTACCACTGAAGACGGTGTTCACCGTCAAGAAGTAGGAACCCAGAGGAGCGACAACCATTGCTAGAGTAAATAGTAGAAGCTTCGCAATGACAGATCTGTGCTCAGTCAGCCACGTTTGCTTCTTCCTCTTCCTCTCGGCCGCGAGATGGAGAGCTCACCCGGGGACAGCGGGACCTTTGGTGTCATTCTTGGGGCTGACAACAGGAACAATGGCAGCGGTTTCCTCCTCCTTCTCGGTTATCTTCTCCTCCCCCTTCGAGGTTCGTCTGGTAGCCATTGTTTCCAGATGGTGATGTATGTGATTGAATTGAATTGACAAAGAACAATGTGAAAATGTTTATCGCCGATACTGTAGCTGTACTCGAGTATTTGAATGGTGACTTGGGTTATGATGGGAAGCTGTCGAATAAAGATTGACACTGCTTGTATGGACTAGACCAGATTAGGGAGTAAATTGCAGCAAGGATTTCTTATGGTCTTGGCGGAGGTCGCGTCCAGAGGTTCACTCGTTGCGCCTGTTGCGCCTGGTGTCTTGCTGACGGTCTTGGTCCTTATCCTCTACCTCCTGCTTCCTGCTGGCGTTGTCGTCGAAATCCAGGCGCGACTTCCTCACAACCCAAACCTTCTCAAAGAGATCTCGAGATATTCATTGGATATTGGGGTTTCGAGGTCACGATACACAGCTACGGGACCGCCTTTTGTTTGCCTTTCTATCAATAACCCTTAATTACAGACCTATCCCATCCATCAATCCACCCACTCACCACCGTCCTGGCCAGGAGTGAAAAGTTCAGAAATCAAGAAATCGTTATCCTTTCCCTATCAACCTCTCCCACCCCCATCCACGGCATCCGCACTTTGGGCAAACACCATATTCAACTTTAACCGTTTTCTTTTCTTTAATACTGGTGCGTTCGGTTTCCCTTCTCACGTTGTCCAAGAAACCGGAGTCGCCCTAAATTGGATTTCCGCCTCTAACATCAAGAAGAGGAGGAGGAGGAGGATGTATTCCATCCCAAACGATACTACAACTACTGCTCCTAACGAGCTGCCTATTCCTGAAGAGGCTACTTTGCCCGCAATCACAATTACCCCCACAAAACGTGGGAGGCTATTCCCCTTCGGCCCCGGGAGTGACTTCAGCCCAAAGCGTCGCAAGATAGATGGGCTTGACGCCGAGACCTTAGCCACTGACCAGGGTGAGTGCGAGACTGCCTCTAGTGAAGTTGCTACTCTCCCGTTGAATTCTTCCTACTTTGACAAGCGGAAGAACGGTGCGACGGCAACTACTCCTCCACCATCTGCGCTCTTGGTCACCTCCTCGCCCATCACGCAGCCTACACAGCTGCTGGATCCCAACAGGACTCCCAAGGCAGCTCCTCCTGTTATTCAAGTTGCGGCATCGTCGTCGCCCTTTCGGGAGGAGCTTATTTCGCCAGTTAGGGCGAAGTTGTTCACCAAGGCGGAACCAACTACTGCCGCTCTTCGACCAGATGGCTCAGTTAGACCTTTCGACTTTTACCCTTCAAAGCCCAACGGAGCAAGGAATGTTGATTTGACCGATAATGGACTTCACTATGTTGGTGGATCCTCAGATGAGGGATCAGACCATGATATAAAGCCAACATTTGTGGGGAGTGCACTGGCCAACAAAGCTATACCTTCTGTCGGTGCCATGCGTGGCCGCCGAGATAACGCTAAAGCATCCGAAGGGCCTACGCCTACTAGAGTTGAGGAGTCTCCCGTTACAATACGCAATCTTCAAAGGTTCGCTTACAACCCGTTGGCTAAGCCTCAAAGCGTGCATATCCCTTTTCAGGGCCGACTTGACTCTGTTAGGAGGCCAACGACGAAATATTCCTCTGGAACCGCTACCATTGCAGGCTCGCGCCCCCGCAACCAAACAAATGGTTATTCAGGGATTGACATCAAAGTTTCCGAGATCGAGAACAAGGAGTACCAAAACCATGTTAGGCGCATGACAATCGTGCTTCCTTTAAAACCCATTCGAGTGCTTTTAAACGCCCTTATAGAGAAGAAGGGAAATTATGATGATGCAATGGCTATGCTCATCGAGGACGATGAGGATACCATTGATCTTACCGGATCCGGTGATGAAAAATCTGCTGGCAAGGTCACTCAAATGAAGACATCAAATCGTGCTGCCGCTGCCCCGAGAGGGACCATTAGAGACAAGTGGTCGTCCACACAGGCACAGGCCGAGGTGGTCGCCTTACCGGAACCTGCGCCTAAACCGAGAAGACGGCTCGTTAAGGGCTCTTCGAGAGAGGTATCATCCTCACCGCCCGCGCCTGCCCACTATGATGACGACACCGACTCGGCCGCACAATCCGATGACAACTCGGACGAGGAACGAGCTCTCGAGGACAAGGTTTTAAAGTACGTTAATACATGTACCTTAAAAGAGCTTTCCGACATATCGTGTACCGCTGCGGAAACTGTCAAGGTTGTCATCTCCCAACGACCTTTCCGCTCCCTCGACGAGGTCCGCGCTGTCACAAGTGATGTCGCTCCAGTGAAAGGTAAAAAGTCTAGAGGAGCACGCACTCGCGCTATTGGAGATAAGATCATCGACATTTGCTTGGAGACTTGGAGGGGGTATGATGCTGTGGACTCTCTCATCGCGAAAGTTGAAGAACTTGGGAAGCCTGTCGCAGAGAGCATCAAGAAATGGGGTGTCGATATATTCGGTGCCGCCGGATCTAGTGGCGAGCTTGAGATTCTAGATGTCAACCCTGATCCTGGAGCTGCGCCGTTGAAGGATTCTGCCATTGGCACACCCACTGATTCCTTGGACGATGGTGATGAAATAAAGGGCACCAGGAGAGAGAACCAAATTGGCAACTTCTTCAAGCAGCAGCCCAAGAACATGGCGGAAGGTGTCATCCTTAAGGATTACCAGGTTGTTGGTGTTAATTGGTTGAACCTTTTGTATGAGAAGAAACTCAGCTGTATCCTAGCTGATGAGATGGGTATGTTTTCCCCGATGGATGTTACAAGTATAATCTGTTTACACTTGCTAGGCCTTGGAAAGACTTGCCAGGTTATCGCGTTTCTTGCGAGATTGCTAGAGGGTGGAATTAAAGGTCCCCATTTAGTGGTTGTTCCTTCTTCCACTTTGGGTAAGTTTAGCCCTACGTTCAAGCATTATCGGTACTTGTTCCAGGTCAGAAATACCCGAAAGCAGGCGGGGCATATTTTATATTCGCACCCAGATACGCACGGATCCATCTTTCTTTATACCTGTTTTTGGGTACTTTCGGCCTGGGACAAGCAGTGGCAGCGACTAATAATTATTCACATAGAGAATTGGCTTCGCGAGTTCAAGAGATTCTGTCCGGCATTAGTTGTAGAACCTTACTACGGATCCCTTAAGGAACGAGCCGAGATGCGTATTTCTCTATGCAAGCGGAAAGATTGGAATGTCTTGGTTACCACATACCAGCTAGCTACTGGCGATAGGATAGACAAGAGGTTCCTTAAGGATCAGTCCTTTAATGTAAGCCCCTACCCCACTGAAATACAGTATGCTGACATTCCAAGGTTTGTGTCTACGACGAGGGGCATCTCCTTAAAAATAGTTCATCTAATCGTTACGACGCGCTCATGAGACTGCCAGCTGTTTTCCGGCTATTGCTAACTGGAACACCGCTTCAGAATAACTTGCAAGAACTTGCCTCTCTTCTAGCATTCATCCTCCCGGAGGTTTTCAATGAGAAGCGTGAAGATCTAGCAAGTATATTCAAGTACAAGGCCAAAACCACAGACAACGAGGAGTCGAACAGCGCTCTATTATCTATACAGAGGATTAAGCGCGCCCGTGCGATGATGACACCATTTGTGCTGCGAAGGAAGAAGCAACAGGTTTGTTTATTCTTGATATGCTATTTTCACTTTTGGTTACCAATTACGCTAATTATTTATACAGGTTCTCAAACACCTGCCAGGGAAGACGAGCCGCGTCGAATACTGTGTCATGAACAAAGCCCAAGAAGCCATTTACAAAGATTACCTCGACCTAGCAGCAGAAGCAATCGCGGCACGGGCCGCCGGTCAAAAGGCCTCCAAATCCAACGCCAACGTGATGATGCAGCTTCGTCAGGCCGCCATCCACCCGCTGTTGTTTCGAAAGCACTATACAGATGCAAAGATTCTCCAGATGAGCCACGCAATCCTCGGAGAGGACGTCTACTCGGACTGCAACCAGCAATTTGTTTTCGAAGACATGGAAGTCATGAACGACCTGGAGCTCAACAAACTCTGCATAAAGAATCCAAAGACAATGGGGAAATACACCTTGAAACGGAAGGAATGGATGGCGTCCGGCAAGGTTGAGGCGTTGTCAAAGTTACTTATAGAGATGCGCGAGAAGGGTGACCGGGTCTTGATTTTCAGCCAGTTCACCCAAGTCCTTGATCTATTGGAACTTGTGATGACGACTCATGGATTCGGATTCCTTAGGATTGACGGATCGACGCCGGTTGATATGAGACAGGACATGATCGATCAATACCATGAGGAGGAGGATATCATGACATTTTTGCTCAGCACCAAAGCCGGTGGATTCGGCATTAACCTTGCCTGTGCGAATAAGGTTATCATATTCGATAGCAGTTTCAACCCGCATGATGATGCGCAGGCTTCGGATCGGGCGCATCGTGTGGGTCAGACTAGAGAAGTTGAGGTTATTAGGTACTTTCTCTCTTTCCACCCTTTTACTAATCACTCGGTCACTAACGGTGCGCATAGACTGGTCACCAAAGGCACCATCGAAGAGCAAATCCTTGCGCTGGCGAATACCAAACTCGCCCTCGACCAGTCCATATCTGAGGACGACAGCGCAATTGAAGGAAAGGCTCAGGAGATTGTTGCCAAGATGTTGCTCAAGGCTGAAGAGGAAAGGGAGAAGGGGGTTGGGGAGGGTGAAGAAAAGGCTAGTGATGGCAAGGAGAAGGGTGGCGAGGAGTAACCCGCCATAGTCTGACTAAGCTCTTACGTTTCTCTCCTTCTCCCTTTTGGTGTTTCCTCACCTTTATTGATGGCTGCGATTTTGTTTGATTTATTGCTTTTCGTTTCATGTTCATTTTGCTTCACATTACTTGGACCTACCCCATCAACCACCCCTCCCATTAAGTCTACGCATTAGAAAGGCAAGAACCGCCGCGGTCCAGACTCCTTTGCCTAGCTCCCTTTATCTCTCGCCACCCTTTTGCTTCGCTTTCCTTTACTCTGCGATTGCTGAGTATGTACTTCACTTTCATAGCTGCCTATCTAGAGACTCTCTCTCTTTTTCTTTTTTTCAATCAGGTCCCCAGATTTGAGTTTTAGATTTCTTTTTCTCCTACCTTTACTTCAACGAAAGGTGAAGCGAATACACAATGCGGTGGGTAATCGAGAGAGGGGTGGAATGTATAACAGTCTGGTTCGTTGGTGTATTTCGTTTACTTTCAATTCCTGTTTACGCTTTTTTCATTTTCGTTTGCACGTATAGTAGATTAGAATAAAAAGGGGGGGATCTTTTCTTTTCTTCTGCTTGTTGGTTTAGTGTGGTTTAGTTAGCTGTGTTGCTCCGTTGAGAATGGGATTATAAGGGGTGCTTGAGGGGGAGGGGGAGATGTAAGCTATGATAGATTGGCCAATTAGGGAAACGGCAAAGGTAGAGAGAGCGAGAGAGAGAAGGGGTGATATGAGAATTTTTTTCGCTCTTATCAAATTAAATTTAATTTCCTTGAAATATTCGATGGGTGAGTAGGTGAGTGAGATATTGTGATCTACAAGGCTTTGAATGACGAGGGGTTGGAGATATCACTGCGTGTGTGAAGTCCCCATCGAGGATGACTCCATGTCAGAGAAGCATCTCCTCGGGCGAGGACCACCAACGTGCAACTCTCAAGCCGGTATGATACTAGCTCGAGTAATGAAAGCACAACACAAAACTCCAGCACTCGGCGACGGCTGGAACGGAACAACACGCAAAGGCTGCGAATTCGGATAACCCCTGACAAAATCGTGTCAGCCGCTCACCACCTCACAGCCCAGCATTCCCCGATTTCCCCGGTGTATGATAACCACGAAAAATCACCCGGTTATCACATCATACCCTATAAAGCCGTTCTCAAAGTGATAGGATATAGCCCGACCGCGTAGCGCACGTAGCTACCGATTCCGGTGCAGGTCGCGATCAGGATGAGCAAGCTCGGAATCGGAATGGGAATGGGAATGGGAATGGCAACTCGAGTTATGATACTACGAATATACTGTACGACACGCGGGGCGCACACCCCACCTCGCTGGACAAATCTCGGAAATATCATAACTTACTACAAAATTGGGAAAAATAGTTGACATTACGAGTACTGTACTGTACCGTGTCTAGGACTTTAACGATAAAAATAAAATAAAAATAAACAGTTATAGTACCGTTTTCCACCAGGGCTGATATCAAAGATAACATGATAGTTTATCATACCACCGCAACCTTTGTTCGGAACAAGTCACCAATTTGAGAAGGACCCTTACCCGGTATGATAGGAATGTGCGAGTATGGAAATGAGGGGGTATATAAACACGATGTGCAACGCAAAAAGAAGAAAAGAAAAAAAGAAGAAAAAAACGTCAGTTTAGAAAACAAGTTCTTGATTTACTACGGTGGTACGGTACGTACGAGGTTGCGGAAGCGATCGGCGTGTTAAAATTGACGAATTAAAAAACATCTCTTTCGGTGACTCATCCAGATGTTCCTTCCACAAACCGATCGTTGACGGGTTGCATCGATAAATGGTTGCATAATCATTACCACTGCTGGAACCACTAACTTACGAGTAAATTTAGGCTGCGGTACTACCAGTAGACCCCTGTTGCCAAAAACCAGCAATGTTAAAACCATGCCACCACCCCGCAAGGAATCAACAACGCGTCTCGACAAGTGAATATAAAAATTAGGAAAAAATAGTAATTAAAATAATAAAAACTCAATTGAATTCAATTCAACACCCCTCTAACCGGTACCAGTATAAAACTAAGCTAATAATACAGTAAAATACAGTATGCACAACCATTTACAACAATCCCCATCCTGAGGGCACAAAAGAAAGGCTCTAAAAAGCCGGTGACCTTCAGCCCAATGCAGCCAGTCCACCTCACCAGGCGGACATGTAAAGTGAGAAACGCAAGGAAATGACTAATGAGGGAATTGGTGGAATGAACAAAGGGGGTATAAAAATAGTGTTTTTACAAGTAGAGAAAAAAGGAAACGTGTTCTAAACCATGGCAACACCGGTACTTCCGAACCCGTTAGCACCTCTAACCGTTTCCTCGAGCTCATCGACCTCGACGACTTCCGGGGTTGCGATCTAGATATGAATTAGCTCTAATTACAAGATCAGTGGGGAGAAGGGGAAAAGAAAAAGAAAGATACCCTCTCGAGAATCAACTGCGCGACACGGTCGCCCTCCTTGACAACAAAGTCTACATCGGAGTGGTTGAAGAGGAGGACCTTGACTTGACCTCGGTACTATCCCCGCAATCAGATTACCGCTCGAAATGTGGAATGAATGAAGGGGGGGGGTATATATACATCAGCATCAATCACCCCGGCACCAACGTCGATACAGTTCTTGGAAGCAAGGCCACTTCTGGGCGCGATTCTCCCATCTACCAAACAAACAATTAGTGACCCATTTCCACCCAGGTGAAGAAGGGGACACACAAGTCCCAACCGGAATCATCATCTGAATATCAGTGTCGATGAGAGCCTTTCCACGGGCAATAATTGCAGTGTCGTGCGCACTATTCACTCACCCATCAGCCTTCCCTCCCCACAAACCGTAGGACAATAAACACACCTGTACAAGTCATACCCGGCCGCAAGCGCAGACCCCCTCTTCGGAATCCTAGCCTTGGAAGAAAGCCTCCTGATACGAAGATTTGCGTTTGACTTCTCCCCCGGTGACAAAGGAGTAAGGATCTTTTTTGCTGCGATGGTAGGGGTGGAAACAGCAACAGGGTCAGCAGTCTTCTGCTTCTTCGGGGACTGAGGAAGGTCTTCGGTCGACGGGCGTTTCAGGACGCGTGGGGATGCGCTGATGGCTGAAGTAGTGGCAGCAGCGGCGGTGGTAGTGGCAGTAATAATAGTGTCTGGGAGGGGACCGTCAATGACAGGAGCCTTTGCGATGACGGGAGTAGCCATAGGAGCGGGGACAGGTTCTTCCTGAGTCATGGTGATAATTTAATTTCTTTAAATTTTTAAAGAATGTTTGTGGTATTGGTTGGTGCGGTTGAATATTTTACTCTGGTGCCTGGGTGCGGTGGTTGCAAAGAGGAAACAGAAAGACGCGACCGCAGAATTTATTGGGAGGGCGTTGGCGCGTCGCATCAACCCGCCATCTTGCTCAGAAACTAGTGCGTCAGTTTTGGGTAAGGCAAGGTCAGGTAACGACAAAAACCCCAACATCACGTAAAAGCAATTACGAGCATATCCCCTTTAAAACCACCCCCTCCGGTACTCGAGTACACAACGCGTAAAGTGGTCTAAAGAGTTATAGTAAATTAAAGTACCGGTACGGTAGAATACATCGTCTATCATACCATACACAACAAAGTACAGTACTCGTACAGGAACCATCTATCAGTCGATAATACCAGAACTATCTTAAAATTAATATCTACCGTATGCGTCGAGAGGACAAGGAATCAAAAGAAAAAGAAAAGATGTGCTAAGGTCACTTCCCATTTCCCCCAAGGCACTCACTTCAGGACAACTGCCTCATACCCAATCTGCGGATCCTTCAACTCGCTTTGGCACTGCACGAGCCGTAACTCTGAGGCCTTTGTAAGCCTAACATATTCCTCACTCCCAACCTCAACCTCCTCCTTCACCTTCTTCCCCAGAACTCTATCACGAGCCAATTGAGTCTGGACAAGTACCAAGTGCATACTTCCCAAAACCCTCCCGATAGCCTTGCACAGCGGTAATTCCAAGGGCCCGACCGCGTCATCGCACCTCCAACTCTGCGCAGCCTCCAAACCACCCTTCTCTGCTTCCTCGCGGAACCTAGCCAGTGTAAGTGCAGCAAACATGTCCCCGGTGCCGGAGAAGAAACCGTCGATGATCTCGACGTTGAACATGAACTTCCGCGGGACGCCTGATGAAGTCGCGGAGGAGCCGGCGCAGAGCATCTTCTTGTCACCGTTGGTGAAGGTCACTGAAGTGATAATCACGTGCGGGACGTTGTAGATTCTGTGGAGCTCGGAGATGGCGCGGGAGAGGGAGGTGAGTGAGTCGACTTTTACGCCGGATAGCAGCCTGCTGGACGTTAATATTCCACGAACCGAGGAAAGGAGGAAAAGAAGCAGGAAAAGGAATGCCTTACTCGGCCTCGAATTGATTTGGAACAATCAAGTCTGCCACCCTTACCAGTGACTTGTAAACCGGCAGTACCCCCTCGCTAACATAGAGCCGGTCCTGATCCCCCATGACGGGATCGAGCACTATTCCATCCATCAGTTCCTCCTCCTTCTCCCCCACACATGGGAAGATACATACGCCAAAAGCAACCCCCCTCCCTCCCCTTCATATCCCCCGCAATCCTCCCCACCACTTCGACACACTCCTCACTGGGTATGTAGCCCGTGAGCAGCATGCCAAAGTCATCCAACCCACAGCCCTTGAGTCCATCATACAAGTCAGATATCTGCCCGGCGGTGGTCCGAAATCCCTTCAACCGGCGGTACCCAGCATGGTTCGAGAATTGCACCGTGTTGAGGGAAGCGACATCCAGGCCCATCAACTGGAGAACAAAGGTGGTCACCGAATTACCGACGTATCTGAGAATGACATCGTCAGTTTACTGCCCATCGTGAGAGTGGTTGTGGTGGTGATGATGATGTCCGCCAGCTAACTCACCCCGAAACGACCTAAACAAAACAAAACAAAACAAAAACCTCCATCAGCTCCCAGAAGCGAAGAACCAAGGGAGGAGGAGAGAAAAAAAGAAAGAACCCCACACATACATGACTAGCAATCGTCAAAACCTTCCTATCCTCCATCATGACCACCTCTTCTTCTCCAAAGATCACCGCTCCAAAAACCCTCAATAGCAGCAATCACCCTGTCTGTTGAAGCTGACAGACACAACTGCACGACTCAGAGAAGAAAAACCGTTACAGCGCTTTCCCACCTCCAGCACTGCACCGTACCCAAGAGTACGGGTGCGGGGTAGTAAGCAGGCTTAAAAATAAAATGAAAAAGTGGTCTGATGCTGGAGGAGAGGGAAAAAAAAAAAAAGGCCAAGTTTCTCGCTAATCGTGTACGATATCATACCCTAGAAGAGAAGGGAAGAAATGGGGAGGAAAAGAAGAAGAAAAGAAAAAAAGCCACAAACGGATAGATATCGCATCGTATCGCCCGGCGGGCCGGGTACGGTAGGTTAAGTAAGTAGGTAAGCAGAATGTCGCCACTCGTGCCGGGCGGTGGCACGATAAGTACCGGCACAGTACTCGTACTCGAGTATGTGAGTGAGCGACTGTGTCGGGGAGGTGATCTACAGGGTCCTGCAAGTTTATTTCTTTTATTCCACTCCAACCTATCCCGATCAGTTAACCCAACCGGCCAAGGCACTAAGGAAGGCAGTAAGGAAGGAAACCCATCGTGAACCTCCCCCCCATTACCAAAAAATCCCATTGCAGGATGTCCATAACCTGCCCCACCGGCGCCGGTTCAGCCTCGTGAGATTCTTAATAGTAGTACGACACGATACTACTTACCCCACCATCCCCAGGGAGAATGGCCCCGACCGCCCAAGCCCCGCACCGAACAATCGCGGGCAGGTAGGCAAGCAAGCGGGCATAACTGAGTGATATGATACCCCAACCACCCCTTTCGGGGATAAAAACCAAGCCCCGCCCTCCCGGCATAGATGCATCATATTCATAGCCACTGAGGCTGGTGCATACTTGGATGCTTACTCCCCTGTGGCCGTACAGTGGGGATCGAGGCGGGAGCTGCAGGCGTATTTGCTTGGCGGGTAAAAGCAATGACGGCGGGTCTTCTTTCAAATTATATCATGTTGTTGAAAGTCCCTTTCTTTTTTTATTTCACCGCCCGATTCGATGGCATGGTGGAAGTCTCCGTGTGCTCGAGTACGATACGCTATCTTGCCCTACTATTCTCGACCGCTATGATGGATAATGGACTAGTCTTTTTTTTCTTTTTTTCAAGATTTTGAAATACTTGCATCGTAGCTTGGATGGATGGAGCCCTTTCACTTCCCTTCCCTGAATTCCAGTCCTATTTATTTCACTTTTTTCCTTTTTTCCCCAACTTTGTGGGTGATGGGCTCATTCCATTCCTTCTGCCTCTCCCGAGAGGGGGGAGAAAAGTGATAGCACTGCACAACTCGTATTACAAGACTTGTATGGCTAAAGTCCCTCATGGAGGGAGAAGAGCTGGGAAAGAAAAAAAAAAACCCTTCTGCATTCTGCTATCATACCAGTAGTGCTCGTGGACTAACTTACGGTATCATACCGTACTGGTAAAATGCGGTAACATCCATCCATTCATCCATCCTCCTCCTCTAATCAAATTACAAAATTGGGTATGGTATGATATGTAAATAAGTGGAAAGAAAGAGAAGAAAAATAAAATAAAGACAGGCAAGCAGGCAGACAGAAGAAATCAATCAGTCATTCCGATCATTATAATCATCCTTGTATCACGACAGGGTTTTTCTTTTTTCCTTTTTCCCTTTCACTATCAGGGTCCGCAAGTTACTGTAAAGAAGCACGATAAAAGAAAAGAAACTAGTATACATACCGGTAATAATTCACAGCCCGCTTTCGCGATTCCATTTTTCCTACCCAAGAACAAACCCTATGCTGTAGACCATCCTTTCCTGGATAGACTTAGCAGAACGGAAAAACAAGAATGAAGTGAAATGGAAAAGAAAAGAAAAGTGCACATCCAAAAAGCAAACTCGATCAAAAGGCAAGACGGAAAAAGGGAATAACAAGATTTAATGAGCAGATGAGGAAGGGGAAAAAAAAATGAAATAATGACCAGACACCCAAAACCCGGTAACGACAGAGCTAATGCACTCCCAAACCAACCGGAACGAGAAACCCTAGAAGGCACAAAGTGTACATGCAAATATAAAATAAAAGTAAATAATGATGAGCACGCTCCCAGAAGAAAGATAAAGAGGTCAACCGTGAATGAAAATCATACACACGCACACCAGGCGCCAACAACCCGAAACAGGCTCCTGTCACTTGATGTAAAAAAGCAAACACGAGCGAAATAAAGGAATCCTTAAGGGGTAATCAAGCAACAAAGTGTGAAAACCCAAATCTGCCAATACATCTATCGTATCGCCACCTACGGAGGCCCGAGGTGATTTTTCTGTAGCAATTTTCTCCTCCCATGGTCGGAAAGAAAGGGTGATAAAAAAAAATGAAAAACCGATCATGGAACCGAAACCCAATCAGCAGAAACTATAAAAAAATGTAGAAAACACTCCCAGTATAAGCCGTGATCCGACTTTTTCCCGAATTCTTTCGTAGGAAGGAAAAATCGAATGAGATGACTCAATCACGGGTTTTTGGAGCTATGAACTTTCTTGTGTCGTCTAAGGTTTGATACGACGGAAAATTTCCGGCCACAGCCATCGACCTCGCAGCCGAATGCTAAAAAGACCGTTGTCAGCTTTGTAATCCTTGTGAAAAGGGGAAAAAGAAAATATATATATATATATATATACGATGGGAAATCGGGGCGCTTACGCTTTTCTCCAGTGTGGCTATAGGTGTGGGTTTGTAGTGAACTGGGTCTAGTAAACCTCTTCTCACAAACCTTGCATTTGTGCTTCTTCTGTGTGCTCGATGTGATCTTGGAGCTAAAGGTAGTCATGAGTGCGCCCTGGACGGGCACAGTATGCATGCCAGGACCCGGTCGTGGGAGAGTGGAGCGTGAAGCTTCTGGTGTGAAGCCATTAGAGTCAGAGTAGTCTGTTGCAGAAGAGTCTACAGATCCGCCACCGTAATATCCGTTATACGATCCGGTCGACGAGATGGATGAATTGGTTGAATGGCTAGGATAAAAGTCGTGAGAACCATCGGTCCGTCCTCCAGGTCGGCGCGGTGCCTGGCTCATGGCAACCATCCCACGAGCAGAGTCGAGTGTATCTGAAAACTGATGGTGATCCGTGCTTCGAGGCGGTTGAGCCAACGGCCTGCTGCTTGAGGTCCATTCCATCAACGAGTTTTGCCGCTGTCGTGGCGGCTCTACGGGTGAACCCAAAAACATAGTATTAGACATGGCCGGTTGTGACATACGTCGATCGTTGTTGTTCAATGGATACGATGTTCTGCTGTGGTGGGTGGGGAAGTCTATTGTAGGTGCAAAGGAATTCACACCGCTGTACGAAGTAACAGCTGTGGGCGAGGGTGCCGAGGAACCGGACATGCTTATGTCTCCTCCGAAGGGGGAGTTGGCGCTGAAGCTCAAAATATCGCCCTTCATGAAGTCGTTTTGGTGTGGGAGAAGATTAGGAGAAGACATGTTCCGACTAGGGTTAGATGTGGGAATGCCGGCAGTCGTTGGAATGGCTTGATAGGAAGCGGAAACACTGCTGCTGCGCAGGTCCGGTTTTACTAACGAACCCAGGCCACCAGCGTCAGGGATGGAAGATGGAATTAGGTGGGTTTGGGGAGGGGCGGATGTCCAAGGGTTTGTGAATTGCACTGATCCTAAACTCGGAGGCTGGAAGCCGCTAAAGGCACCATGGTGCAGAGAATGGTGTCGTTGTCTGTTATCAAGAGCCATTGCAAGTGCGTATCGAACGGAATGTGGGTAGCTAGGAAGAGACGAAAAGGATTGGCGAAAGGTAGCAGCTGAGTTACTCCTGATAGTCTCCAACGACAATCAGATGTATAGATGAGGGGTAAAGATTGGATTGCGCAAAAGACCCCAACGATGTTCAAGATCATCCAACAGCAGAGCGCAGTAGAGCGTAGCAGGTGAATGAGTGAGGAGGAAGGCCGATCAGATTGTGATTGCGCAGCAGGATGGGCAGGTGAACGACGGGGAAGACAGTGTCTTATGACAGAGGAAGTTCGAGGTGTCAGTCGATGGGTGGTGGATAGATATATTAAGACGAAGAGTCGCACGGTAGCGGATATCGGATGTGCACCGGGGGTAAAATGTACTCTGGTAGCTATCGTGTGTAAGCCCGGTTGAACGTTGGGAGAGGAGTAGAGTGTAGCAAGAAGAGCAGGAGGAGTAGCACGGTACCTTCGAAGAGAAGTTTCCTACTCCAGTCCAAAGGATATTCGGCGGATCGTCCAAAAAGATTGACGAGGGGAAGAAGAGGCAGAGATGAGGGACGATCACAACGCAGTTGTCAACGTTTGGTTTGGACAAAAAAAATCTTTCCTTTTTTTTTCCCCTTTTCTCTTCGGTGTGGAACAGAGAAAGATATCGCCTCTCAGGATAAAAAAAAAAACAGTAAATATATATATATATTCCTGCTTCTTCCTTTTTTTTCTTCTTTTCTTTTCTGAATTTATTCCCTTTAAACGGGGAGGCTGCCTGCGTGCTTATGCGCCCATGTAAGTTAGAAGAGAGGCAAGTATCATACCAAGAGAGAACTTAAAGTATGGTAGCCGAGCAACAAGAGAAAGAAAGAAATCAGTACTCGAGTGCAGCAAGAAGAGGGCAGCCAAGCAAACTACCGCAGGAGTAGCAGATACTGTAGAGTAGGGTACAACGCCAGCGAACGGTTGCCCTTCCCCCTCCCACCTCTGGAGCAGGGATTGAGGGGAGGGTGGTGGAGGGGGGTGATGGGTGGATGGTGGAGTGAGTGAGTGGAACGTAGGGGAGGGATGGGGAGTGATGCCTGTTGCTGTGCTCGAGTAGTGTGTGGGATGCCTGTGCTCTTTGGCCGGGAACCGAGAAGGGGCAAGCGCGTTAGACTGGAGCAACGGACAGGAGGCAGTTTCCGGCTTGCCCTCAGCAAGCATTTCTCGGAGCTCAAGAGGGCAGGCAAAAGGGAAAGAAAAGAGAGAGAAAAATAATTGAAAAAACGAGCCCCGTCCGTGACGGACACGCGGTGAGAGCAATACTGGGATATGTGTACGGTAAAACAACAAAAATGCCGGTAATGTAGAACAGAGCAAACAAAAACACGATGTAAAAAGTGGGAGAAACAAGCAAAGCAAGGCAGAGCAATGAAGTACCGTAGAATTCAAAAGCATAACAAAGCAATGGCAACGAAGGAAATCATCAAGGCCACAAATAGCAAACATTCCTACTCGAGTAGAGTGTAGGTATGAAATTTGGAAAGCATTTTTGAAAGGGGTAAACACGAGCACAAACAGGGAATTTACCTAGTTAATTTTAAACTGGTCCAATCATTGGGGGCTGCGACGCAAGGAGACACCGCCGAAATTTCGCTCTCGGCACCTATCTGTTTCCTGACAAGGACAAGAGGGAAAGAAGAGAACGGAGGAAGAAGAAAGACCGAGAAAGAGAGTCGCCGTTCAAGATACGGTTTCCGAACTGTATTATTATTATTATTATGGTAGACGCCGGTATCTTGGTGTGATACCGTACTTGTTAGTTCTCCCTGAGAAGCTTTCCTTCAATATTGGAACCGTGCTGTAAGGTCAAGGATGTTGTTTGATACCGGAGATGTTAACCCTTCTAATGATACGGTACCCGATACCGCAGCTGATGACAGATTTTAGATGCTGAATGTGCCCGTGCCGATGGACAGATGGAACGACGATGCCCCATAGGATTGGAAGCCGCTTCTCTGAAATGCTGAAACGATGGACACTCTTGGGCAAGGTTCATACGTCCGCCAAAGACGATCTCTTGAGAAAGATTGACAAGAGAAGAGAGGGACAGGAGGGGAATTTGAAAATAGAAAACCCTGAGGATCTCCTTCCTCCACTCTTCTCGATTTTCCAAGTCTTGATTTTTTTTCCTTCCTCCCTTCTTACAACTTTTCCCGTTGAACGAACCCTAACAATGAACACTCACCGAGACTCTGCCGAAAGACAACATTTATGACCTTGCCGACCCTATCATAGTCCCCCTCACTCACATTGCATTACCCCATCATCCATCATCCCTCCTTCTACCCTACCTGCCATACCTACTATAATTTACCAGTACTCGAAGCAAGTTTTGAGCATTTGCGACAAAGGAGACAGGTCAGACGCGTGATGCAATCACAGTATTGGTATGGAAGTGTTTGGGGCGACCGAAGATTTCCTCATCTCCAAGTTTTTGGCCAGTTCTTTGCCCAGCATCTGTGCTAATTTTGGTCAAACCAAGCATGCGGCATCCAAGTGAAGGGTGAGAGGGCGGAGGTTGACAGGGCTGCAAATGACGATGGGTGCGACAGGCACTATCTCAGAAGCAGGGGGTCCCCCGAGGGTGTGAGACCCTATGACGACGCGGGCGGGATGGAGGATCAATAAATGCGGGCGCAGTGAAAGGGTGGAGCCGACTGCAAGCCCCCGGCAGGCTAGCCGCTCTGTGCGAGTGCTAACGCCAAGGCCGCCAAGGGGCTGCATACATTTTCTTCATTCCTTCATTCCCCTTCAATTATTTTTCCCATTCGCACACACACACCACATTCAGACATTTCATTCATTCACAATATCACCTATAAAATTATTCCCAGCGCACACACTCTCTCCCACCTCACACACACGCTCACTTATTTTCTCGCCCACACGCCCACACCACCACCGCGTTGATTGTACTGTAACCACAGAAAGAACACCGCCGCCGCTTTTTCAGTCCGCAACCGCTTGCTCCTAGCTCATATCACAAGTACTCATGGTACCGGTACGCAACATATCACCCACTGTTGACCGTGGACGCAACTTTTGCGCTATTACCGTCCCAATCGCCTATGACAAGCCCCGTAATTTTATTAGATATCAACACTGCATGAAGCCCCCCCTCACACACCCACACACCCACCCACCACCCATCAACAATCCTCGACGGAGCCCCATCTTGATAGCAGTAATGGATGAAGAGTGAAAGGATCGGGCGAAAAAAAAAATGAAAAAAATGAAAAATGAAAACAGTGGAGAAGTTGAAAGGTAACAAAATATCGCAAATCTTATGCGTGAGTTTTGGGAGGGCAAAAAGCTTTCTTTGCCACCGATCAAATCGTCATTCGCAGAACATGACATCATGTCAACAAGGTTTATCCCAGGACCGGCACTTTTCCCGAAAGCCTTCCCTCTCTACAGTACTCGAGTAAATTCCATAATAATGATAATAATTATAACATTATTGTCGACCAACCAATACCACCCGGAGAGGTGTTCTTGGCATTTAACTTTTCAGATTTGTTATGAATGAATCCGTATTGGTCCTCGAATATTGCTAAAAAGAGTACCCCGGTGAGCCTAACTTCGCCATTGTCGATCCTTCCTTTTTGTCCTGCCTAGTCTAAAAAAGTCAATAGAACTGTTGCCTATTCTTTGCCCTGCGTCGGGCCTCATGCCTGTTCGAGAGCTTCGAGAATCCGTGTTGAAACGGACTTGAAACACTTCTCACGTCATAGCGCATCAGGGTAGGCCGTGCTTTTCTCACCTATTATTATTATATTTTCCACCCTTCGCCGCCTTTCCCCCTTTTCCCTCTTTTCTCCCATTCCTTCTTCCCCCTTCTCCCAGACGCATTGCTATTCCGCTGGATGCGAACCTAGTCTGCCAGAAGGAGACTGCAAACCACAAAAGGTTTTTGCTTCCTCTTTTCAACAACACTTTTGTGCAACCAGGAGGAAAGGAAGAGTTCTAGTAGAAGCGTCCTGGTTCGCCCTTTCGAATTACCGGTATTCTGATAGGCCGGATGAAAAAATGGATCCCAGATTCCCTGAATAGAAACCAATATCCACAAACCGCAAAAGAAATATTCGGTTCGGATCAAGCCCCGTTTGAACGAAAACAAGTTAATTACCGATGGCGCTATTCCATGTTTCTGTCGACCGCAGCTTTCCAATCTAACCCTACCGGATACTTGACACCATATGCCCCCCCCCTCTTGGACCTCCACTCCGCATCTCCACACCCGCCCTCCCCTTCCACCGCTCCCCTTCTCCACTCCCTCCTAGTTAGCTAAACCTGACGGTAGGGGATACCGGTACTCGTACTAGTACAGTACGAATACCTTCTTTCTTTTTTTCTCCCCTTTACCAAACCATAAGCTCAGACTCACTCATACCGTTCAGCTCACGGACAACTATCGTTTTTGACATGACATGCCCGAGCGTAGGGGGCGCGCATGTTTATGAAAAAAGGCATATTCCGAAATCTAACATCATATCCGATGTTTTACGATTCCTTGCATCCGTGAATAAAATAAAAAGAGACCTTTGCAGAAGGGAGTGCCGTAAGCGTACCGCACCGTACCTATGACAGAGATAGAGGATGTCGAGGATGCGAGGTCACCCAAAAAAATTTTGGGTTGTGATGCGAAGATCATTATATATAAAGAGCATAGCGTCAGGGTCCTTCTATTTCCCGTTAGGATCGAGGCTGTTGGAAGAAGGCTCTGATTTGTGGTGTATCTGTCCGTTTTGGAAATTAATGAGAGATAAAGCTACGGAACAAGGACCCTTTACAGAATTATGATACCGGTATTCTAGCCCATTATCTCTTTTTTTTTCCTTTTTTTTTTTTTTGTGTGTGTGTGTTTTTTTTTCTTTTTCTTTTTTCTTTCTGAGAAGAGACAGGATTTAGGAGGTTGTCACGGTTGTCTTCCTTATTTTTGAATCCACTTTTTTATTTACTTTTTAGTGGTGGGGATGGATGGATGTCAATGGTGCGGAGCAAAAGACCGCTGCCTAATGACTAAGACAACTCAGGGCTCCGGAACTGGATCGCGGGTGATGTCTTGGGGAGTGGATGGCTTTTTGTGGCGTCCCCCCCCATCTTTTTAACCTTTTTTCTTGTTTTCAGAAAAAGGTAGGGGGCGCTTTTCCCGGCGCGGCAGACCATTCTTAAGCCTTTTCAGCGGAATACCCGGTGAAATCCACTATCTCCGTCAGCCCAGGATAGGTTTAGGTTGACAAGTTAACTTTTAATATTATATATTCGGTACTAAGTTAACAGAATTGCGAAATACCAGTTAACCAGATTCAACACCTGTTGAAAGCTGATCTTATACTGTGTCGGGAAAACGCTAATCCTTCTCAGAAGCTCTTGACTCAGAATCCGTGGATTTTCACAGAGATTTTACGGGATCGCACTCACGCATCTCCGCCAGCCGATATTTTGCGGGAGTCCTCACCAATTATTCGGCTTGCGGGTATTCTTGGCAAAGACATGGCAATCATTTCCGCCTATTGGTATGTAGCATACGGTACTCGTGTATAAGTACCTGTACTCATACATAATCCTTATTCAATTCTCTACATATGCAGTGTTTCCCTTTGTAAAAACCCATCGTCCAACGGTGATACAAAAAACTACTACCATACTCTGCACACACGGTACTCGATCATATAAAACTCCCCCATGAACGAACTTCAGCCGTCGTGAACACACGCTGTTGTTAGGGAAGACAGAGACATGGATATCAATTGTGCGAGAGAAATACACACCACCACCCATACGAGTACCGTACTCGAGTTACTTGTACATACATATCATAACTTACATACATCCACACCTGCATATTCGAGTAAACGCACCCACACAATCTCGCTTCAACCACATTCATGATGCCTTAACCTTTTGCCCCTACCGCTCCCTCAAACTGTTGGTCCGAATATACCAAATATACATCCAGCAGAAGAGAGAGCAAGATCTTAGTTATGATGCCGCATCATACGTGAGCCCCACTACTGGAATTGTACGAACGAGAAAAAGGAAAGGAAAACTCCCAACACACGCTCGTAGCACCGTCGACCATCCGGCAGTTGGATGGAAACTCACTGCAATTGCAGAGAGGTGAGAAGAAAAAATAGTCTACTGTAATTTACCAACGAGGTACAAGATCTCGCGCGCATCCGTCCCGAACCAAAGCCCCGTCAACCAAACATTAAAAAAAAAAAAAAAAGCAGAATATATTATGTATTTTTGAGCCGGATCCCCTCGCCCCGAACCGGACCAAAACTTCCCACATTGGATGAGCAAGCCCACTATCGCTTTACACCACCGTCCAACTCCCGGGCTTTAAGGTTTTTCCAGCGATGATGGGCACACCAGGCGAAGTGAAAAAAGAAAGGGAAGTTCCCGATTACCTGCCTGCATCCCGGTTCGGGGAATGGGGGGGAAAGGAGGCTTAGTGACGATGGGATGGACGGCTGTCTGGGTAAGTCGAGATTCAGCTCAAACTGTGATATTGAACTTCGGCAGTTGATTTTTTTCCTCATTGTAACAAGTATCATACCCTTACTATTGATCCTTTGGGCTTCTCATCGCGCATCGCTCATCTTTAGTCTTTTTTTCTTTTCTTTCTCCCTCTTTTTTATTGATCATACCGGTATTCTCCTCCGGTAGATTGACGATACCTGAGTTCAACAGGCGGGTGTCATTCATTTAGAGAAACTAAAGTGCCGCAGGGACTTTAAGGGTACGAGCAAGCGAAAAGTACTGGAGTACTACCGTAGTACGAGTACTGTACATTACCCGTATCCATCGAAAGGAATCCTCCGCCCCGACGGGGAGAACCCTCCTGGTCTTTTGCGACAATCTTTGCATGATCGTGGACATCGCTCGCTCCTGTCAATCAATCAATCAGTACCAGGATCACATTGACCGTGTTGACTTACATTCCAGAGTATCCCCCCCCATTCTTTTCTTTCTTTCCCTTCCTCGTCGTAAATCACAATGAAACAGAACAAACAAGATACTGTACTGTATGGATTCCCTGTGTTTATTTTCCCGTTCTGGGTAACCGGTGCTGTGGCACCATACGACACCTACAAGCCCACACCGTCCTCCAGAAAGGGAAGCCTCAAAACCGCGACATGAATTATCGCGATATTGTAACATTTGAAAGGGAAGGCTTTGCTTCGTAGAGTCATATTCTTCCTTCAGATGAGCGGTGGTGGCGATGAAGGTGTTTTGCCTTCATGTTTGCCTTCCTCCCTGCTCATGGACACTCTATTCGGGGTCCTATCTCGTGGTTAAGTTACCGGTACGGTAGGTGTTTGAGCCTTCTTTATCATTTCGACATGAAGTTGGAAAGGCTATAGCACAACTTACACATCATCATAATCGACACTTGGCTCCTTTTTCACGAATCATCACTCCCCTTCCTCTCGCTAACGACGGGAGAAATCAAGACGAAACCTATCATTACGCGCGCGCGCGCACGCAATGGGATAGGGGCAAAGCCTGGTGGAGGGCCAAAATTAACTCCGACCCATCATCGGAGACGGCATCTGAGAGCAATTTCCGACGTCGTGAAAAGGGCATTTCTGTAAGCTACTCGTACTGTACATTATCACCGTCGACAATTCCAAGACTCGTTGTTTTCTCTCTTCTAGGATGAGCTTTAGCCTCGGGGTGCCTAACCGGGCGGACATAGCACCCATCGCAGATCGTATCATATCATTTACCTCCTCTGAGAGAACGAACCAAGAGACAGGCAGGCGGTGCAGTCCACCGGGCTGATACCTACTGAAGTTCGTTTTGTTTCGGTTTAATTCGGTTTAACTGCGCGCTCACACGCATGATACGGCACTATGGCCTATCATACCTACCATATTCTGGGGCGCCATATAACACCGTATGGTATGATGAGGTGTTATGAATGGAAAAAAACCCTCTCACGAGAAGTCGTTCCGAATCCGGCGTCCGGATTGACGGGGGTTTGACAACGCCGATGATCTACTCTCTAAGGCTAACTTATCAAGCACGATATTGTACCCTAGTACAGTGGATTCCCTAAAGGTTGCGAATCCGGAGGGAAACTTTGAGTACGGTTGTTGCGCGGTCAAGGTCTGGACGAGGGGGAAGAATGGGGGGGGGATGGAAACAAATTCGAGGAGCTTTGGGCTCCCTTTCCAGCCCAGGATAATAATTTAATTTAACCTTTAGGAAACTTTACAACAAGGCCCTACAATAATACCTTTGCTTGCTGGATGAAATGCCTTGATGCCAGAGGGTTTTCGTTTGGGTCTTAATGTATGGTACTGTGTTTGAGGTAGAGGATGGTGGGCTATGGAACTACTCGTACGTAGGCCTTGTTCAACGCCGGCACGATGGTATCACAGTGGGTCAATCCTTCCTTCTTCCTCCACTGAGCTGGATGTCTTGCGACCAAGGATTTTAAGTACTGTAACACGGACGTATTGGTAACCTGGTCAGTCTGAAACAGTCAAATTGGTAACCAGGGACATTAAATCAGTCCAGGGGTGATCCGAGCTCTGGGGTTTGTGCGGGGGGTGTATCTAAACTCACTCAACCTGCTGAGTCATTTGAGGGCTGAAAATCGGATATTCATACTGGGTTCGGCTAACTGTTGCCAAACCTAGACTTAGCGCGTCCGGCAATGAATTTGAACTGCTTCAAACCATTCGAGTATGATACAGAGCGGATTCGACCACTTACGGTACCTTTCCTCCTCGTCCTCGCAACCGCAAGAACCAGAAATAATTGACTGTCTTTCTGCCCCCCCAGGCTTAGGAAGATAGAAAGGAAAAATACGAAGAGTCTTTGCTAGCGGTGGCAACTCCAACGCGCGAGGCTGGCATCCAAAAGATGAGTAGTGTAAGGGCTCCTACCAATCCAAGTAGCCATGTTCATGGCCTTCCAGCGACTGGTTCGGTGAATCAATCCACACTGAATTCAATATATACGTGGGATGATTCCTGGATTTCATTTTTCAACCCTTGACAGCCCTGTGCCTCGAGTGGGCGGGAAATTGTTAAGAGAGGAATGGTTGCGTTTTTCTTGGCACGATTTTTCATGACTAGTAAGTTGTAGGGAATGGCTTGGCTTGGCGTTTTCTTATTCCAGATTACGGCACAACTCCCAGACTACCGTATTGCTGCACTGATATTTGGTTATTTTCGACCAGAAACCTGGTTATGTTTTCGTCTGTTACCCTTACTACGTTGGCTGGGTGGGTCTCATTCTCATATCATGGCTCATTGAACCGGCCGGGGGTGATTTACCGCATCTGTTCAAATTTTCGACGGACCTTAGCCTATCCGCATGTCGAGTTTCGGGTACTGTAATCCGCCTTATCTCCCGCAGGTTTAGCCTAGGATGACCTTTACTGTATGATACCCTAGCTCCCGGTATCGTACTGTACAAGTACGAGTACAAAGTCTTGAGATCCACTACAGCCTCAGATCAGCGCAGATCGGTGTGTCGGCCCACTATAGGCCCAGCTTGACAGGTTACGGGTAACAGGATTGCGAATAGCGGTTATGAGATGCAGCATTTCTGGTGCGTCGATCCTGTATTGTGCCGTTTCAGGAGCTTTCTGTCTCTGGCTCCTGGGATTACAGCTGGCTGGCGGGGATGGGCGGATTTCAAGTGTTTTTGAGGTATCATACTTGGACCGCCTTACTACTAACCCGGTGTGTTTGCCCAGCTTACTTACATGGAAGTACTTATACTCGAGTACAGCGCAGTACCCGGCACTCCACCATATCGCACATAACGGAGAACCCATTCCGTCCGCCATTGCCATCGAAGCATACCCGCCAAGGCTGGATTAGTGTATTGGGTGTGCTGTATGAGAGTAGTACTTGGGTTCACTCGAGTAGGTTGAGTTCGTTGTCCGGGGGGTCAAAAGGAACGATGCGTTTCCGAGTTCCGGTGGAGTTGTTGCTT